GTTATTGGCGCGAATTTCGAGATCGGATTTTCGTCCTCAAACGCTTAGTTAGTCCGGCACCGGATCCTGTTATATTAATAGTCACTCCCAAAAGATCAGACACAGGCTGCCGTGTATGATTTTATTATTATTATTACTAATAATAATAATAATTATTATTATTATTATTATTATTATTATTATTATTATTATTATTATTATCATCAGGTGGAAGAAACGTCGTTTATGCAGAACAGGGGGACTATGTACGTTTGCTCACGGCGAGGAAGAATTGAAATCATGGAAAGCTTTGTGCGCAAACAAACAACAGGCATCAAGTTATAGAAGCCTGGAGGATTTGCCATTCCAATCTGCCCACCTTGCCTGCAACAATGTACGTGTTCTAATAAGCTTATTCTAGCGCACTCTATTATTCTTTGCAAGACGGCTCGAAATCGCAGACGTTCATTTAGCAGTGCGACAAGTTGTGCGTTCATGTTAGAACCATAGATAGATCCTGCAGCTAGAAGTGTTCAGAAAAGTGACGGGAGTTTCTACCACGTTTGTGGGAACCCTTCTCGAAGGCTGCCTTATTGATTTCTAAAAATGACCAGACTAGAAATTAGATGAGAAACCTCATCATCTTTGTGACAAATTAATTACATGAACGCCGTGTAATCTTTTGTTGTTTTTCTTGGTTCAATAGATGGTCTACAGTCTCCCTGGTGTCGAAGTCACAAGTGATAAACCTTCTACGGTAAAAATCTACCATCGTGGTGACGAAAGAAGCCACGTCTATGATTGGGTCTTCAACGTTACATTTGAGGTAAATAGAAACAAATAATCAAGCGAAAGGGGAGCTCAAAAATAAATGTTACTTTTCAAGAATCAGTGAAAGCAATAAACCAATAAAGGGCAGCTACTTCACTCAAAGGTGCCTTAAAGAAGGGTCCCCCAATAAATTACAAACATTGAAACTTGTATAATGATAGGTAGTATTTAACAACATCAAGTGGACAGCGAACATTTTTTCGCTCGTTTTATTGGCTCATAACTCTGAATAACCTTCAGTTGGTTACTGTTTCTGGACGGGAGTTAAAATGGTGTCTCCTTTGGCTACAGTTTCAGAAGACGAAATTTTATCGATATATGGAGCCCAAATGTAGCAAAAAATAGCAAGAAGGCGACGAAATTTGGCTTGGTAAAAAATTATTTTCTTCCTGGATTTGTAACAAAAGTAAAACCATAACAGTGCAGTAGCAAAATCGCCCAAAATCAGTTAAATGTAAACAAAACACTATTTATAAGCGAGTGACGTCTTTTATTTACAAAAATATTATCTTTTATTTTATTGCGCTAGATATGATGTCATCAAATTCGGCACACGTACGGTAAATAAGAAAATTTGCCGAAGACCCATTTCTTTTCTTAAAAGAGCCTTACATACTTTATCCTTATTGCTGGTCTGCCCTCAAGTAGTCATTTGGACGAGGATGATATAAATAGTCGAGTAGCTTCCCTTAGCGACAAAATAAATTTTTCCATTATACACCTAAATGCTCGTAGCTTGCTAAAAAATCTTGACCAATTGAATTTAATGTTTGGAAGTCTCAAAAAACCATTCTCTGTGATCGGTATTTCAGAAACGTGGCTGACTGATTGCGCTGCAGAGCTGTTTAATATCACTGGATACAATTTTGTCTCAAACCATCGCAAATCCAAAACGGGTGGCGGAGTAGGTATTTATTTACAAAACGACCTTCAATACAAACTTCATAATGAATGCAAATTGTCAGATCCAGAGACAATTGAGTCTTTATTCGTGGAGATTACAGTTCCCCATGGGAAAAACATCATTGTTGGATCTGTGTATAGACCGCCAAATCAAAACGGCCTTCTCTCTAGACAAATTTAACTACATTCTTTCTCGTATTGCTAAGGACAACAAACAATGTTATGTTATGGGAGACTTTAACGTCGACCTTCTCTAGTACAACCAATTCATACACCAACTCAAGAATTTATCGACACTCTATTTTTGCACGCATTTATTCCTCTCATCTCCAATCCAACGCACCTCACCTCTTATTCTGCAACTCTACTCGATAATATATTCACAAATAATCTTTCTCAAAATGTTTTAAATGGTATTGTTCTAAACTATTTATCCGATCACTTACAGGTTTAAAATAAATAAAGTATTTATACGCAAGGTTACTGACGAAAATTTGCGTAAATTCAACGAAAACTTTTCAAACACAAACTGGGCCTCATTTCTTGATGAAGATCCCAATATGGCTTACAATAATTTTATAGATGAATACTCGAGAGTCTACAATGCCTGCTTCCCTTTAAAGGTCATTAAAGGTAAGCTACTAAACAACTGCAGCTCTCCTGGGATCTCCCCCGGACTTTTGAAATCTATGAACAAGAAAATTTAAAACAGATATACAAAAAATTCATCAGATCTCCCTCATTATCCAATGAGCGAAAGTATAAAACCTACAAAAACAAACTGAACTACTTAAGAGTTGATGTCAGTAAGGATCAAAGATCGGGCGGACAGAGCTCAAAATTTGATTTCGCCTATACTTTGTACACTGGTAGGTCCAGGTACTATACATATGAAATCAAGGTTTATTTGGCTAAATATTGTTTCGTTTCAAAGAAATTTGATTTTAACTGTAAACGGTATTTTTCGACGTAATAACCTTGAAAATTGCCAACTTTCACGAAGTTATTGAGTCATTTAGTCGATTGTTTTAAGATGTCTTCACGGATATCCAGTTAATCTAAAGCTATTTCAGTCCACTGATTCCCAAAACAGCTCGCTAACGCTGCTCACAAAAAATATATGATTTTTTAAAGAAGCACACCAACATCCTTCTCGAATTTGGTGCAATGGCTGGTCAAAACAACATGTCAGAAATGCCCGCGGTACGCAACGAATCACACCAGAAAACCTTTTGGTATTCTTTAAAAGGATAGTTTTAACTTTCTACAAGCTTATATGTTTGGGATCTTTCGTACTTTTTTGACAAATACTTCTTAAAGTGAGCACAATTCCGCCATCCGCCATCTTGGAATGTCTTACATTACCGAAACAGGCGAAACGGAAGTCACCGCTACGGCATCGAACGGCACATATTTTTTCACTTCTTTTGACTAAAGAATCTTCCATAAGCTTTAAGATCAACCAAATTTACCTGTAATCAAGTCCAATGTCAAGAAAAAGCAGCAAGAAACGCACCATACTTCGGCGATTACTGTCTACAATCGTAGTCTGCAAAGACTAAAAGTGACTCCGTGCTGTGACTCGGGCAACGTTTGGACTTTGACGCGCTTCACTGAGTATCACTTGTGTACCCTTCTCTTGAGCTTTCAATACTCATCCGTTTCAATTTTAGTTTTGATAAGTCTCATTCCATGGGCACTTTTAACTCTCCATCCCGCATCTCGTATAACAATATTCCATTTGTCACGCAATATGTGTGACAAATGAACCGGAAATGAAATTCTCCTCAAACTCCTTTTCGGCATTTTAAGAAACTTTCCTGACTTAACAAAGTGAATCCTTCACTAAAACGGTCTAAATCAGAGGCTTCAATTTTTAAATTAAATTTATGTGGGTAGATTAAATGATCTCAACTTTAACTATAATCACACATATATCTAGAAATATCAAACCGAAACTAATACCATCATTTTTTTAGAAATGACGGAGAAAATGCATGCCTTTGAAAATCTACAGGTTTTCACATATCAATCCTTCGTTAAAAGAAAAAGTTAGGGTAACTAACTTCTTTTTCGTCACCAGAGCTGCTATCAGTTTTTTTTGGCTGGTCAAAAACCACGCAATCTGCTAATATGTACAAAGCCTCTGCTGAAAAACACAATTGGTTCGCAATTCTTTGCCTTATCTTGTATTTGTTCTTGTTGTTCATTGTTCAGAAGCAAGGAAATTCCGGTTAAACGAGTGGGCATTAAAAGTACAGTCTCTTTATCTGAGCTGTGAACTTATGCATCAATTGCAGCTGCGTACAGTCCCCGCGGGCTGACCTCCGGGGAGGTCCGGGGTTGGCCAATGGCCGACCTCCGGGCAAGGCAAAATTTGCTAATGCCCTACCCCCGGGACCGACAAGGGGGAAAATATCCCACAGTGGCCCGCACGGGGGGGGGACTAGGTGCAGCTGGAATTGATTGATGCATTAGGGCATTGCATTTTGCCTGACCCGTGGTCCCTGAAAACTTAAGTTATAATCACGTATTATAACAACCTCGTTCCCAGGGTTCTCTCCTACCCGGTAGGAGAGAACCCTGGGATCGAGGTTGGTGTTATAACAGGATACAAGCTTACAATTTCTTTACTCGATTGTTCTAGTCGATTACACTCGAGCACAAGAGCACTCCTTAACGACCTGCGTAATACGACTTATAAGTGGCTTTTTTCGTTTTTCCGTGATATCATCCACGTTTAAGCCAATATCTTCACAAATGTCCCTTAGCACTGAAACTGTTAAGGTAGATAATTTCTTTGTATGAACCAAACTGCAAATGTTACGGGAAAGGGCGACAATGGGGTGACGTAAAGCAATTTCTTCGCTGACAACTTCCTTTAGGTGCGAATGTAAGGCCTCTGCCTCGACTGCACACTGCCCTTCGTCTTCACTTCCACTTTCTTCGTTCGATGTTGCTGACGTTTTTCGAATCCTTGCTGCCAGTCTTGAGAAGAATCCTGCCACCTGCTGTGGCGAAAGAATATCCTTTCCACTGAAAATACGAGCAGCCTTTTCGTCCCTCACTCTTCGCATTTCTTGCGATACCTGTTGTGGATCTGCCTTTTTACCACACTCCTCCCCGATGAGAAACTGTTCTGTGAGGAACTTTCTTTGTTCTTCTGTAAACTGGGTTCTACTCCTTGTTGTTTTAAGAGCCCATCCCATCTCAAGTGTGGAATGTAGTTTATCAACTGAGATTTTTGATGTCGTGTAGAAACCAAAAGTTGGAACTTTCGTTTGCTCTCCAGTTATTCTCGCAGCGTATCCTTTTCTGGCTTTGTCAAACAGTGTTTCTTTTTCTAGCGCGAGCTTGTGCTTTCCTTCGTCTAAATGTGCTTGCAAACTTGAGGACCGCTGGAATGTCTGAATACACCCATCTTCTGGGCAGGTAAAAAGGCCGCTTACTTCCTCTTTCTCTTTTTCGACATGCATGTCTTGTCCTGCTGTCTCTTGCTGGTCAGGACTACTCAGCCGTTGTTCGGACAAAGATTTTTGCTGCACTTCCTTTCTAGGATTGATTTTTCTAAAGCTTGACTGCTGAGAGCGGGTATCAGGAGGCTCCAAAACTTCAGGTGTAGCAGGAAAGATACCATCGGTTTGAATGTCCTTCCATGTTACCAGCTTTCCGGGCCCGATGTTATAAGCCTTCCATGTTGTGATACCATTTGGACAAAACTGGAAGTTATTAAGCGTACTAATTCCGTCCCATTTGATCACGTTTTTGCCAGCAGATAGTTTGGGAGGCTTCACATACTTCACAATAACGCCAGGAATACCGCCATTTGATTCAATGGCTTCTTTCATCTGTGCAGCGTTGTTCACATCGTGCCCCTCGTTTAAGTACACATTGATATGTCCTTTAATTGTTGCGGCCTGGCGGTCGGCTTCTCCCTTGCCCCCTTGTGGATCTGAAAAGTCGAACCTCTCCACCTTGACATCAGAAAGACTGTTCAACCTGCTTCCTACAATTGTTGACCCACAATGATAACATCCTGCGTTGTTTTGTTTGCAATACACTTTTTGCAGTTGTGGCCGACGCTCCTTTAACATCTCGATAACATCTTGTAAAATGGCGGTTACTGCAACGCTATCCTGAGGACAACTCTGAAACAGGTGGACAAAAGTGAGCTTCTCAAGCGGGGCATTTGCTTCTGATCTTGTAAAAGCCACTGTTATGTGCCATGGAATACCACGTTTGGCGAACCAGTCACACTGTGATTCGCGAAACTTTCGGGGTAAGAATTTCATCGCCCAGTCCATAACTAATAATGCTGAACTCCGACATATGACATCTAACACGTCATGTTTTGCTTGATCCTGGTTAACTGTTCGGAGTTGGTGAGCTTTCCATGCCAAAATGTCCTTTTCAGCTTGAGCCACCAAACAGATACTGTCATCTCTTTCTTCTTCAGACTGAAGTTCTGCGCACGCTTCTTTTATGGTAGACAGCACCCCGGTTAATTTATTGCATTCGTAGCAGACCTCATCGTGGTTATGGTTACACTTTCCTTGAAAACAACTATTTTTAGGATCACTTAGGGAAAACGTTAAACAGTGATCTGCAACTTCTGATTCCATTGTAACGTGCACCTAAAATGTGAAAGATTATTATCGTCATCATCATCATAGTTATCACTATCATTATAATTTTTACTATGATTTTTCGTTATTAATATCAGCTGCTTTAGGGTAAAATCTTTTAAAAGTAGTAAAAGAAGTTTGAAACTTATTAAAGCTTGTCCGAACCGCTTAAAGGGCGCAAATTGAAGATAGCTTCCGCTTAATCAATGTTTCGAGGTTTAGCCTCAATACTAGCTAGTACAATGCAGCCAGAGAAAGTTGACTTTCATGTTTATGACCAATTCGCTTAAATTTAGCATCAATCCAGCCAAAGTACAAAGTTAATAATCTACTAAAAGAATAACGAAATATTAAGATAGCCTTACCTTGTAATCAGACCGCAGATATTGTTTGGCAGACCGAAGTGTTTGTTTCATTTCCTGGGCCCAGGCTTGTGACTTTGCTTGATCTGCTATCTTGTCTACTATCTCGCTAAGATCTTCTATTGCCTTACTGCCTTGTGCAGAGAAGTTATCCAAGCCCTGCAGAGAGGTGCGCACTGACGCAGAGCAAACGTCTAGTACTCGGAGTTGTGTGCGCTTGCTCATCGGAGTGAAATTGGTCTCGGTACAAAACTGAAAATACTGTTGTGTTATCCGTTCTGGTATTAGCATCCGTACGACATTAGGTGTTTTAATCACCTCCCCTGTTGAAAGTTTCAGCATCTTTTCTCCAAATGGTATGTCTTGTACAATATGGGAACTTGTAATAAAGTCGAGAAAATGATCAACTTTGGCGAAATCAACCTTCATACGCCTAGTGATATCAGTAGGTACGATCGCACCTCTACCATGTAACAGTCTATGATGCCGCGCGATGTTAAATCTGTAAGGCGTCACCCCGGGAATGTAATGCGTCAGTTCCTTAAGCGATAGTTTATCTGCCAAGATGGACAAAATTTGTCTTCTCGTGCTCCAGTGAGTTGCGTTTAAATAGCTTTCTGCTAAGGCTTGTAAAATTTCTTCTTCGGCTTGTGTTCTATCAGATGGTAAGCTTTCACCTAATGTGGTCAATAATTTATCACTTTGTCCTGGAGCAATTACTTCAAGAACCTCTTGAACACTTTGTTTTGCTTTACGGCTGTACCTTCTCTTTGTGCGCTCGTTAGCACTTTCCCATGGAACGGACAACTTATGTCGAACAGGGCTAACATCACGAGAGGCTAAAAAATCGTTTAACTTTTTTAAAGGCTCTTTTGCCGTGCCTACTTGGCTTCTATGCGGTGGGTTCTCAAAATCAGAACCTTCCAAATCCGATTCTGGGATGAATATACTCTCTCTTCTTTCATCAACATGAATTACTTGGGCTGCTGCAGTTTCTGCCTAAAATTTCACAAAATTAAAAAAAAAAATTAAAAAGTCTGAGGTAAGACCCCAAAACACTTCTTCCAGTTTCGTTGTTGTCAGTACAAACATAAAACAGTTTGAACGTACTCAAAATTGGATTCAAACTAGCTGCGTACGGTTTCTAATATTACAAGGAAAGATCTTTGTAGTTTGTAGACGTAAATCATAGAATGTCATACTTACCAGAGTAAGCTCACCTAGATGCTCTGTAAGTTCGTCAAAATCTGATTGTGGCAGGCTGCTTTCAGGGGTATGTGCTTGTTTCGTCAGGTTCTTTCGACACTTAGTACAAATCGCTAAAAAAATATAAAAAATTACAAAAATGTTAACCCACTCTTTTTATATTTTCTCACCCGCACTTGCATTTCTGATTTCTTGCTATGCCATTTATCATTTTTACACACGCCCCTCTCTCATCGTTTTCTTTTTCGACCTTGGTTCAACGTATCACTCGGCTATAATTCTTACTTTGCGAACCACAAAAGAAGAAAAAAAACACACATCAAAAAACCGCCGGCTACGTAGACTATATGCGAGGCTACCCTTCGAAATCGGTAAGGCGCATCTTGGCTCCTTTCCAGAAATGGCGCCGAAATCACAGTTCTTGAGTGTGAACAAAAGCCCTATCCCGGGTTTGGTTTTCTTGGCGGAACAAAGATATCTTGCATAGTGTGAACATAGGGTTAAAGGCCTGTTTATGTGAAGTGAGCCAGCCCGATTAGCCCAGCTTGCCTGCTTTATCCGGCTGGCTCGGCTTATACCCTGTGTCCTTATAAAATTTCTGCTATGTTTATATGAGAGACCAGGCTGGCGAGATACTGGTTGCCTGAGGAGAGATTTCTGCAAGTGGGTCAGTCCGGCTTCATATATTAACAAAACGGAAATTTTAAAGGGAACCAAGGTATTAGCCGAGCCATTCCAATAAAACGGGCCAGCCCAGCTAACTGAACTGACTCACCATTTTAACGACGGCAGAGATATGTTTGATGTGTTATATGACGTCATACGTTATAACCAAATGTTTTACTCCCGCAAGTATTACAAAAGAAGAAGGATTATATTTACCTGAACCAACTGGAATGAATTCACCAGTGGCTTCCAATATGTACTTCGACTGAGCCAAGCTACATCCCCGCTCGGCATTTTTCTTGGATTCTTCACTGTGTCCAGAGAGTTTGCCTGGAACACTGCATACCCGCTTAGACCTTCGCCACCCAATACCCAAACTAACGCGGTGCAGCGGACAGATAGTCATGTCGTGGATATTTTCTGGCGTTTGGAAACAACCACTGCGGGCTAGAATAAGCTCAATTTCCGTTTCGCAGCCACTGAATTGAAGCTGTTTTTTGTGGCTCGATATATTCTTTGAGCATGATACCAAGGGTACGATTTTACGCGACGCAGTCTTTGACTTTGGATCAGCCCCGCATTCTCCACCGACCAAAAGTGAGAAGGTACACGCCATCGCTCAATATTGTAAGTCAACGTTTACGTTTAACGATTAACTCGGCGCTATTTTACTTCCTTGAGAAATTTACAGTGAAAATTAGTTTTTCGGAGAGAGACTTGTAGACTGGAACAATGATAACACAATACTGGTTGAAAATACGCCAAAGTAATTTAATTATCAAGTGCTGCAAACGTAACTATATTTTTGATGCATCTTGTTTATGCCAGTCTCAATCCCAATTTTCATTTTAAGGGACTTTACGCCAGTCCAAATCAAAGTTTTCTCAGTTTTGAAGGGATCTTTAGCCATAGATTTTTTATTGTTTCAGTTTAAATGCCGTGTTGACAACCGCGAAGCGATGTACTATTTACACAGGTGTTCTGTATTTGCATAATGGCTTCGTGCGGTCCGAAAAAACAGAGTTCGTGAAGTCCTTTCCTCTAAAGGAAACGGAATATATAGCGGAGGATTTCAAAACGGAAATCGCTCATACGTTATTCGACGTTATGTGAAGTCTAACAACGGTGTCAAAGGTCGGTGCGTGACGTGTAGGAAATCAATGTCACGATATCATGCATGGAGTCTCAATCCTATAAGCCACTGCCAAACTGCCGTTAACTTTAAAAATAACGTAAGGGCAGCGACTTAGTGATATACCAAGCTAAATCTCACTTGCACTTATAATTTTAGACTCAATTAATCCAAAAGTAATACGATTTTTGTACGGTACTTTCTCGCAGTTTCAATATGGCGGTCATCGAAAAATCTTGCAAATTAGCAATCTTCGGGGCAGTTGTATCGAAAAACTGAAAAAGATCCCAAAGAAATGAAAATGAAACATAAAACATCTATCCTTAAACTGTAGAGAAAGCTTAGTCTGAGGATATATTTTGGCGTACCGACCGGATTTTTAGGCAAGTCTTTTATGTCACTTTAGAGCGATCCAGAAAAGGCAACGAAGTGCCTTCAACGAAAAGCTCTCCACGAGTCATATTTTCATATAAAATAAATTATCAGTCATTATAGACAATATTTAATTGACCAAGGGACAAGCTATTTATTCATAGTAAGAAATCATTTATAGACTTTACCCCGCAAACTTGAAAGAGTCACGAATATAGTAAAATTTCGGTTCATCAAAGAGGTCATTTTGGTGCAAAACAGACCCAACCGATTTTATTTAATTCCCCTTATGAACGCAAAAATTAGACAAAACAAACCCTATTTTGTTAACTACGATACAATACTCTATCAATGTAAAAAGTATCAGCGAAAACGAATTTTGAGCTGTGTCCGTGATTTTGGGATTATCTCCGATTCTTACTGACATTGACTCTTAATTCGCATCGCAAGACGTAAATACTATGATACTAAGTTTGAGAGTGCCAAAAACGACCTTAGAACAACTTGGAAATTGCTTAATGAGGTTATAAATAAGCGTAAAAGTAAATCACCTTTGCTTTCATCATTTGCATCTGAGGGTAAAACGATAACAGATCCTGTGGAGATTGCTGATAAATTCTGTAAATACTTTACTAATATTGGCCCCAATCTAGCTAGAGCAATAAGCGACGTAAATTCCTCATTTAGTTCTTTTCTTGGTGACGTTAACCATCCTCCTATCACCCTGCAACCTACCGACCCCTGTGAACTGGAAAGCATTTGTAGCATGTTCGCCTCTGGGAAGGCCCCCGGCTATGACAATATTTCAATGCGTGTAATTAAACACTCATTTGACCTGATTTCTGCCCCTCTGGCCAACATCATAGACCTGTCTTTACAAAAAGGTATCTTCCCTGAAAAACTAAAAATTGCTAAAGTGATTCCTATTTACAAAGTAGATGATCCTAGTCATTTTACAAACTACAGACCCATTTCTTTGTTGTCCAGTTTTTCCAAATTTTTTGAAAAAGTAATGTATAATCGCACGATTGAATTCGCAGAGCAGTATAATATACTATACCACTGCCAGTTTGGATTTCATAAAAACTATTCAACGTCCCATGCTCTAATCCATCTGATAAATAGAATCTCTTCGGCAATTGACCAACGTGAAACTACTGTAGGTGTTTTCCTGGATCTCTCCAAAGCTTTTGACACTCTTGATCATCAAATCTTATTCACCAAGCTGGAGAACTATGGTATCCGTGATGTGGCTCTGCAGTGGATCAAAAGCTACTTTTCTTGCCGTCAGCAATTCGTCCAAATTAATCAAACTTGTGCCTCAATGCAGACCGTTAAGTGTGGAGTTCCTCAAGGATCCATCTTAAGCCCCTATTCTTCATACTTTACATAAATATGTTTCATAATGTTGACAGGCCATACACGACTCCCTTTGGCCAAGTTGTTTCATAATGTTGACAGGCCATACACGACTCCCTTTGGCCAAGTTGTTGTATATCTTTGACCTTTAAGCTTCATAGTTTGAGTTGTTCATAACGTTGACAGGCTATTCACGTCTATCTTTGGCTCAGTTGTTGTTGCTTTGACCTTACCTTCATAGTTTAGCTCTTACGAGTATATCTTGTAGTGACTTTCCTCTTTTGTAAGATATTATGGGCGGGTCTTTAAAGATTTCTCTAAGCAACGGTTGGTTTTCTATAAGATACCATTTGTGCATGATGATTTTTTTTAGATTCGGTACTGAGGGGCGATATTCTGTCATGAATGGTAGTATATTCTTGTGCGTTTTCGTTCTGTTTTGCAAAGCCGACATTCTTCCGTGATGCTTGACTTCTGATAGGTGCTTATCTATCACTTTATCTCTATAACCCCTCATACGGAGTCTTTTCTTGAAATTAGTTACGTTCTCTTCGAACGTTTTCTCAGAAGAGTTTGTTCTGTGTAATCTTAAGGCCTCGCCCTTTATGAATCCTTTCTTAACCCCTGGGGGGGACATGAAGAGAAGTACGTGTATTGGAAAGTTTCTGTCGGTTTGAAGTGTGTACGCACATCTAGGATTGATTCCTTCTTAAATCTTTCTCCTTTGTAAATACATGTATCCAGAAAGGTGGTTTCTGTTTCTGAAACTTCAGCAGTAAATTTTATGTTCGGGTGGTTGTTATTTGCTAGTTCGATGAATGAGTATATTTCTTCTTTGTCTACATTCCACAATGATAATATGTCATCGATAAATCTCTTCCACACTAGTGGTTTGTGCGGACTTTTGTTAATAATTTCTGTCTCTATTGCAGACATAAAAATGTTAGCAAATGCAACAGCCATTTTTGTTCCCATAGCTGTACCTTGTACTTGGAGGTAGTTTTTTCCAACAAATTGGAACGAATTCTCCCTTAGGATTTGTCTGAGTATTGGCTGGGTATTGCAGGTTTGTTTTGATAGAATGTTTCGTATGTTTTGCATATAATGGTAATTCCTTCCTCCTGTGGGATGTTTGTGTATAGTCTAGTTACATCCATAGAGACTAAAATAGCATTTTCTACGACCCTGGTTTTCTCTATGAAGTTGATAAAGTCTGTCGTATCTTTAAGATACGATTTTTGCGATTTAGCAATTGTTTGGAGGAGACTATCAACAAATGATGAGATTCTTTCCGTCGGGCCTTCGCAGCCCGATATGATCGGTCTTCCAACTGGTGTTGGTTTGTGAATCTTTGTGAGAGTGTAGAATTGTGGTATTCGCGGTGGAACTGGGCTTCTACTTTTTGCTGACGACACGAGTATCTTTTTTTCACACTCTAATCCCAACTACTTAGAGAATGTGCTTAATAATGAGTTACTAAATATTGCTCTCAGTTAATATCAAAAAGACAAATTATGTTACCTTTAGTCCGAGTCAGAGGAAACTCAACCACTCTCTCTCTTTTGGAGGTCAACCTCTAATTCAAAGCAATGTAACTGAATTTCTTGCATAGGGTGTACCTAGACGAACATCTTACTTGGAAGTATCACAGAAAACTTTGTCTGTAAACAAATCGTTAAATCAATCGGTATTTTATCCAGGATGCGTTTCTACTTATCTTGTACTTATCGCTGTACTACACATTAATTTATCCTTATATTACTTAATGTAACTCCACGTGGTCTTCTACTTACGAATCTAATTTAAACAGAATTTACTACCTACAAAAGCGGGCTGTGCGAGCTATTACAACTTCAGAATATCGAGCACATACTGCTCCTCTATTCTACAAATTGGAAATTCTAGATATTTTCCAAATTAATACGCTCGATACTGCTAAATGTATGTTTCGCTACCACAATAATCTGCTGCCTCCACTCTTCCGTAATCTGTTTATGACAAACAGTCAAGTCCATAGATATGACACAAGAACAGCTGGTAATTATCGAGTGCATTCCTGTCGTACGAACATCAAGAAATTCACAATTCTCTACCAAGGCCCTAGAATCTGGAAATGTCTTCCTGCATCTATTACAAACTTGTCAAGCTTTTCTGTCTTTAAGGACAAAGTGCTAGAGATTTTATTAAAATAGTTACTAACTTAGTTTAGCCGCACTTCTTCGCGGCCCTTATTTCTTATAATATTGTGATGTCGAGGTGGCCTCTCTTTGTAAGCCTGGTGGTGTCTTGAGGTCTCCTCGCCTAACAACCTGCTGTATCCTGTTAAATTTGTTGTTAAAAAAGGCTAATAAATGATGATGATGATGATAATTATACCGTTGGTTTTACATCATGCTGGTCTTTATCAAAAACATGAAAGTGGCCCGATGTCCAGCACGTCTGCTTGCTTGCAATTTGTTCTTAGGTCTATTTTGGGCCTCAGCGGTCTGTGCACAAGGGGATTAATCATGATCGTACGTGCTACCAAGCCTGCGAATACAGCATCCGCCTCCCTCTTTGATCCCCGCCTGATGTGTTACCTCGTCATGATCAACTTCTAGTTGTGCCATCAAAGCTAATCGTTACTCCAATTTCCCCCAAATGATGCCTCAGCATAATTTTTCATATGTAGGAACGACATAATAAATCTAGACGCTAACGGTAAGGGTTATTTAATATAGCCTGTTCACAGACCCTCTATTTTCTCTTCAAAGTCCGTCGAGCGCGGGTGATAAAATATAAACCGCAGGGTATTTATTGACCGCCAGCGCAAGGGGGTAGTGGTGGGGGAAGAAGAAAATAGACAGTCTGTAGACATCTTTGGGAGCAACTGGAACTTGCTTTTCGCAGGAAAAGCAAATTGCCATTGGCTGAACGGCGACCCCATCCCAAGTGAACTTGGGATGGGGTCATACAAGAAGCTTGTGTTGAGCATGTTGACCATAATTATCTTTTGTATCGTAGTGTAGACTATGACGACTGTTTGGCACAATTTTCAAGCAAATACGTACTCAAAGAAGAGCAGCACCAGGCTGTTTTGGGGTTTACTGGAGCAAAAGGATGTTGTGGCGGTTCTTCTAAGGGATTTTGCGAAAAGTATAATTTAGCAGTTGTTCGCGGCAGTGAAACTCAAACGAATAGTAAAGAACGTGGAATTGTAGGTGCATCACTATTACGAGGTATTATCAATTATCAAGCTGAAGCAATGAGAGAAGCTGACATTTCAGCCTTTGCATTACCTTGCAGCGGAACCATGAGGTGATGCGGACATTTTCTTTTTTTAAAACCGAAAGCTATCATCGTCGTGCTCGCTTTCTTGAAAGCTGGCTTTAATAAAAGAAAATCCAGCTCGGTTGCTTATAACCTGATTACTGCAAGGCGACAAAACCCTACCTGACTGATCTTCTGTTTGCGAAACGGTAAAACCAAGATCTCTTAAAGGGACTGTGTCACGATAGTGCGCATGTGTGAGCTGTGACAGTAGCTGATTGTCTTTGAACCAATCGGAAGCGAGGAAGATGCACGCGAGGAAATTTACATAATTTAAAATTCATTGTTCGCTAAGCGGGAGTCTTCCGGACGTTTAGGTTCGATTTTATTTATCCCCATAATTCATATTTATTCTCTAGTATTCCTCAGATAAATGTTGCAGCTGATAAGAATAAGATTAACAACCCTGTCCTACTTTGAAACAAACATTTACCTACGTGTATTTTTACGTACACACGCTAAAAAACCAGTCTCGGATCTGCAAACAAAAATACTTACTGATCTCTCTGTTTACCCTATATAAACTTAGAAATACCTGCAAATAGCTCCTGACCGGTGATCAAAACACACTATATAGGATGAGGCAAACGTTTTGCTTAAAATGCCAGCTAAATGCGCGCTATAATAAAATAAACCATGCCATGCGGTCGGCTAGCGCGGTGAACACTCTTCATGAACACAGTAGCTCAGTCGATTGACACCAGCTGAAAATCGTTGCAGTGTTTGAAAACAATTCTTAGCTTTTCATCATAAAACGCTTTCATTGAAATAGTAGCCACATAACGTATAAGTAGAAAGATTATTCTAAAAGAACAACGCAAAAAAAGGCATAAACAGGAGCCCATCACTATGGCATAAATTTCAACTGCTTAGCAGCAAATATAATAATTCCTTTCGAGTCGTTGCGTCGGGTGTTCCGCAAAACAAACGTTATCGATTCAACAGATAAAGAAACCAGATGTTAAACGGAACATTCAGGGAACATTTTATTTTTAAAAGTTCAATTCTTAAAAATCTACGCTCATACAGAAAAGATACAAGGAACATTCCCAGTGAACTACATCAGTAAAGATCGCGCGGCCTGTTGTCAGTACTTTCTGCTATACAACTACGGATCGGAGTCATAAATAGAATGCCTGTTAAAACGTTTCATGTTCGATGGATTGTTTCCTCAAATCTCACACGACTTCCTGTACAACAAAAGATTGCTGGGTTTTCTCCTTCTGATTCCAGACACTCGATAAACTAAATTGTTGCAGACAATCGGAAGTCATGTCGCAGATAAGCTTCACTCGCCGCTGCGTCCCATTAGTAGTCCACGGCTGTATCGAGGAAACCCTTTTTAACTCTCTTTACATATTTATCGTTAAATAATATCCGTCAAAGGTAGATCGTTGATTGGAGAACCTTAATAGACAGAAATGAAAGCCAGATGACCACATTAAAGGCCACATTTGATCCCTTTGTAGGAACACTGACAACAACGAACTTGGCTTCGTACGGTTCTCCTCAATGACTTAGAATTTTCTTGATAATACTTGCACAAAAATACAAAATATGGCGTTTAAAACTTCCCAAATGGACCAAATAGCTCTTGAATACTGATAACATATAGATTTAGCCAGGGCTAAAAGCGAAGCTGTGGTTAATAATACGTGTAAACAAAAAAAAAATTTAATCGTGTAACGCTAAACGGGGGACGACAATGAAAATGGCTTCAAGACTAATAGATCTAATTAGCAAAAAAACAAAATTGCACGTGCAGCACACTTTTTCTTCTAATTAGCAAAAAGCAAATTTGCACGTGCAGCACGCTTTTTTGTCTTTCCCTTGCCGTTGTTTTGCACGACTACAACACTGTTTTGTACGACTAAAACGTCAATCTTCCTAGTTACACGCTATTTTCATGGAGAAATTGTCGTATGTGCTTACCCAATATTTTGTTTCCAGTGTTCATGTTCGCTTTTATTTTTCACTGCCCTCATTTTCACCTTGCTGGCCGCCAGCGTTTCTCATTTTCTCACCTCCGCTTTAAATTTCCATGTTTTTCTTCCAACGAATTTTCAATAACTCGCTCTAGCTCTTTCTCTGTTATCCACGTTAGTGTACACATAAAAAATAACGCCGAAAAAGACACGACTTTTTTCTTTCTAAAAGTCGGGGCGGCCATGTGATTTCCTTCCAAATAAAACCTTGAGTTGCATTTGGGTTCCCATATCTGTTGATTGAGTTATTTTACATTGGTATGCCTGTGGTGCGGACGGAAGGTCGCCCGTTCGTTCGCTCGCTCGGTGTACGGTCACGTGATTACCAAATTTTCTGGGATGGGTAGATTACCACATTTCCTTAGCTATGGGGCTCCGCCCACGCGCGCGCTTTGCGCGCGGGTGGAGCTCCTCTATTATGGCTTTCTCGGGCGTTTCAGGGTCGATGGAAGAGGATTTCTTCACCAAACGCCAGTCTTGAAAAACTGTTCGCCGGAACAGAAATCAAGTTGTCGCACATGCGCAGAAGCGTGTCACAGTCCCTTTAAATCGTCCGCCACATTTCGTTTTGTAACACCTTGACGAACACTCTCAAAAAAAAGATTCTCTGTAGCTTTACGGGAACGGGATTGTTGCCCAGTAATATTGACGTATACAAAACACCCACATATCCTACAATAAAACCGATGTTCCGATTTGTATCGGCTGCGGAGCAGTCTAAGGATGATCTATAAGGAAGACATGCTTCAACAAACACACGACTCCGAGTGTCATTGTTCTTTTGATTGTAAAATACTTAAGCCATTACATATGCAATTTATAAGTCCAATTCTATTGGTCCAATTTAATTGGTACTGCGAACTTGGAGGTGATAATAATGAGGCGTTGATATGGGGGAGGGACTTAATAAACCTATTTTTGCCCAAAGATGTCTACAGACGTTCTTTATTTTTATTTCTCGCGCTCGCCGATGTTTTTGAAAAGAATGAAAAGAAACATAAAACAGCGTCTGTGTACAGGCTAGATTTAATATGCCTAACGTGCTCCAATTTCTTATTTATTTCAAGATCAGGAATTACCTTGCAAACAACCAGTGACTAGTCGGCCTGTGTGTGTCCATTTCAGTCTCTTTTTTCACCTCACCACTTAATTATGTATCTGAAAACCAAAAACGAATCTAATAACTTCCGAAGCCCGATGATCAAGCTAAAGTCGAAATATCCCCATAGGCAAACCAGCAATTAAAGGTTTATTTAGTAAATGTTATCTTCTTCCTGTTGTAGATAAGTGCGGTTGGCATTTTGAGGAAAATTGACCTCCTTCATCAGTATCACAATTGCTATAGGCTGACCAAAGTCAAAATTGTTGTAAACGACGAGGAGATTGTTTCAAAACCGACAGATCCATGGTCGTTTAGCCTTCCCAGCAGGTTGTTTGACGTGAAAGGAGGCAAAATGAGAGTGGACATTTCCGTTTCCTTTGAAACAGAAAAGTTTGACCAGACGTTTACCCAGTGCCTTCGATTTGATTTTGGCGGCAGGCATTGTTTACAAGGTTTGAACGTAGATATAGCTAGTAAGGAAGCCTTAGACTCGATGTGGACGGAGGAACTGGTGAACGTTTTAGTGTCATCAGAAGATACCGATTACAGTCTGGAGGATAAAAAGTTGCAGGAAAGATACAGATTGCCTCCAAGGGTAGAGAATGTAGTTTCAGCCCAAGTGATGGAGGTGAACCTAACCTCAGAGAACTACAAACAAGGGATGCACCAACTCTTATTTACTGAGGAACTTTTCATGAAAAAAGCGATTTCAAGGTAACTCAGATTTTACCGTTTTTTTTCCGGGCCTTTTGCTTTCACCACTCGAAGTTTGTTCTTGACTCCTGTAGGCCTACTGAAAGACTGTGTTCAGGTGTCCTCTTTTGCAGAACTCCGAACGGTCGCCGAATGTCCAATGATTCTGAAGTATGGTGACTAGACTGATTAGGGTTAGGAAACTGCGGGAATCAACTTCCATTTGGGGGTCATTTAACACACAGCCGGTGAACTGGACTATAACTTTTAAATTACGTTGATAATATCATTTCAGATCTTAAAACATCAGTCTCACTTTCTTACTTACGTCTGATGCTTTCATTGCATCAAACAAAGGGGAAACAATTAAGTTATATTCTTGGTTCACAACAAGGTGGCCGTTTTGGTGGACAAAACGATGCAATATTTTTTGCAGAATTTGCATGAGAAAAAGTGGAGGGAAACGCTTTGTTTGTTCTTGTCATCCGAAAAGGCTGCCGTGACGTCAGCTGAAAACCATGCACCATTCAATTACATCCAGGACCTTCTCTCTTTTAGACATTATTGAAGGGAATAACGATGCCAAAGCCATTACCTACTTTCGTACTTTTAACCAAGCGTTAGCCCTAGGGGGAGCGAAAATTAACATACTATCTTTGCTAACGGCGCCCTTGGGCGTGATTGAACATACCTAATTCATCACTGGAATTAGTAAGAATTGTAGCCCGAGGCTTTTTTTTTTTTCAGATGGCGTTTGTAACGTTATCCTAGAAAACATAGGATATACTCCGAGACAAGCAATAGGCCATTTCCGAGTTCCCCCAGGCCTCTGTTTCAAAACGAGGGTAGGTGCTCAGCCTTTGATATGGAAATCATTTTTCATTCTCATGCAAAAAAACTCATTTTCACAAGGAAGGTTGTGTACCTAGCCTCATTTTGAAAGTGAGGGTTTTGGAGCTTCCAAAGTGGCCTATTCCAAGGCAAGGCTTGAACTTCTGATTATTGACCTGTGTTCGTTATCAAGAGAAAATGATGCATATATGCATTAGTGAAATTTGGCTTTGTTGCCAGGCACTAATTTTAAAGGTTAACTGGCGATTCCAGTAAGTGGGATATCTTGATAATTCAGCTTAAATTACCGCTCGTTTAAGCACTTGTTAAGTTGGATGTTTGCAATAGAGGTTGAGTGGGGTTCATTTGGCTCAGAAGTACCGATGTTCCGCTGTAAGCCTAGGCTTCCGTAATACGGTTTTAATGCACTTCTTAACCTCTGCGGCGAAAAAAATCCGTTGTTTTAATGCCAAAATTCCCTGCTATCTGCCAGGAATCGGGGGGTCGGGGAGGAGGCAGGGTTTTAATTGACTGATACATAAGCATTGCTCATGTAACAGTTTACTTAATGCACAAGACTGAAAGATGATAATTCATGTTTTTTGCTCCAAGGTTTGCTGTTGGAAACTATTCAATGTATGTTCAAAAAAGTTTTAAGCGAGAGTACCATGGAATGGCTTTTGCTGGAAAAGGAGAATTGTTTGGAGTTCTCAAATTTTCGGAAGCCCTTCCTTTAGATGATGCAGCTGGTCGACTCCTTGTTAGAAATGTACAGAGAGCTTGGCTTAAGTTATCTGGGACTTGTACGAAAAGCGTATATGAAGCATTCGTTCAAGAAGTCACGAGCTGGCGCGTGGTGTTGAGACTGTCCAAGCAGATGTGCTCAGACCAGCAACTGACCGATCAAGCGAGGGTTTTTGTTGATCTCCAGTTTCAACTTAATAGAAAGTTTCTTTGTGAGTGGCATTTTGCTATTGACCGTCTAGGTGCCACCCATTTGAGCTTACTGTTTCCAGAACAAGTTGCATCAGAAGCCAACGAGGTATCGATTCAGGTTCTTTTGTGTAACTACGTTTAACTTAATCTGTCGTGTCATTTCTTTTCACTTGCGCTATTCCGTATAATATCAGTAATTTTCTTGGCGATTCCCACCATCGGTGTTAGGATTGATACTGTTAATTTCTACGTCTCTGCCTAACTCTCCATGCAATGAAGTTCAGTTAAGGTTTTCATATTTTAACTTGAGAAGTATTCGCAGTATTCAAATGTAGGCCATACAAGTAGGCACAAAAAAGGGGAGTCACAGTTGTCCTCATGAATCAGCGCGAGGAATAGGAAATACTCAAAGTGTCGGAGTAAACGTATTACACGTACATTTATGTAAATATTAATAGTAGTGGTACCAGATACACAATGTCTATTATGTTTTGCCTCTTACAGGAAACAGTTTTAAATTACCTGCCTTTGAATCGCGCTAATAGTGAGCAAGAAATGGTCATCAAACGCATGGTATGGCCTGACAATAACTGTGCTCCTCTTGTGGTGTTTGGTCCTTTTGGGACTGGGAAAACGGTTACTTTACATCACGCAATCCGTCATCTGGTAGCAAGGGGAAACAAACGCATACTACTCTGTACCCACACGAATAGTGCGGCGGATTTGCACGTCAAACTGCTACATGATTACTTGACTGAAGAGAACGGCCTGAAAGCAGCAAAACCACTTAGGATTTATCAACAAGCGAGAAGGTATACAGCCGTATAACCCCCTTTGCTTTGAAAGCCACCCATACATGTACTACAGGGGCACTCAGCGACATTTTTCAGTAAAATAACTGTTAGAAGGAGCAAATATTGCCTAACATTTCTAGAGCTTGAGAAAAGCTAAAAATTTCTGGATAACCGTTCCATTCGTCTAAAACTATTCGGAGGTTTTCTAAAAGCTTAACTACGATTTTCGGTGGTTGTGTTATTCACATTTTAATACCAAGATATTGCGATTATTGTTTAAAAAAGGTCTCCTAAAACTCTCGGTATAAAGTCAAAACGTCCCCTACAATTTCCAATGAAAGAAGACTACTTCATGTCCTCGAACATAGGACCGGACCCATAAGGGCAACTAACACTTTCGGATGAGACGTAAAAGCCACCTAAAACTTTCGTAACGACTAAAGTTCCCCTAAGACATCCGAACAGATAAATAGTTTTTAGGGCAACTCCAAATTAACGAAACAGGCTTCTAAAGCACAGAGAAAACCATCTGAGACACTTCTGGCGTATTTGGAAACATTGGGTCGTTGGTGCCCCTGATGCTAGAATTTATTGTTGAGACAGAGACAGTGACAGGACCATCATGTGATTGGAGGAAAGGCCCAAAAACACTGGAAGTATAATGCACAAAATCATCGGTTACCGCTAAGCCAAACCAATTTTGGCGCCAGAAAAACAAAACAAAACAAAGAAAGAAACCAAAAGGGCGGATGCAATCGTCTGGGAAATTCTTCGCTATTACAGTTTGACCAAATCGAATAGTGAGACCAGCAAAGCCAGCTTATTTATTTAACTTTTCCGGTCTTATAAACTTCTCGTCGTTCATGTTTTAGGTATTGCTGTAATAATAATAATCATAATCATAATCATAATAAAACATTTTTTAAAAGAAAATTCTCTGCAAAAATAGAAGGATTGATAATTAACTTCGTCTTATTATTATTATGATATCCCGTTTCAGATTGGAGGCCGATTCTGAAATTGCTAAGAGATATGCCTTGATCGTAAACAACGCCTACGTACTTCCTACAAGAGAGAACGTTATCGATCATCGTGTGGTGATTACAACTTTAGCCACCTCAAAACACCTTCTCAAGCTGCAGCTAAACCAGGGCTTTTTTACCCACATCCTCATAGACGAAGCTGCTCAAGCTTTGGAACCCGAAGCATTAACACCACTGGCATTGGCAGGGCCCAAAACGCAGGTTGTTTTGACAGGGGACCATATGCAGGTAAAATGTGAGGTCCGACTAAACAAAGGTGGGCTGTAACTATTTTGTTACACAGAATAATGTACCAAACACAGAGCACTTATTCCAAAAATCGTGGTTTATGCAGGTCGAGTGTATCTTAATCTGTCTTACACTGTACCCTATGTAATGAAACTAAAAGCTCTTTTATTTACCACTTAAATTATAGCTTGTATAAAACCGACGTGTCAAGAGCGTCAAGGTCTACGGTATGTTGCCCAGTATCCGGACACTTAAAACAAAAACTCAATTTTTGAGGCGCCCTTCTCAGTTATCGGTAAACAAAGTATTTCGAATGAAAGCTGAACATTTCAGCTTTAAGATGAAGGTTTTGGCGAGTTGAAAGCTTGCGAATCAGTCGCAGAAGACGCCGTTCTGTTCAGGTGAATAAACATTTCATGGCTAATACTTACGCTGTTTGCTGCGCAGTAAAATTAGTGCTGCTCAGAAAAGGGCAGGTAATATGTGATATTTTCAAAGAAACGGTTTTATATTCAAATTGCAGATACTTAAAGAAGTCTGGTTCTCAGAAAGTTTATTAATTCTTCTTGAAATTCGATTAGTTTGGAATAACGGTGCCCAGAAACATCCACTAAGTATTGATGTCAGGTGCACAGTATCTTTGCTGTACAGAATCGATAAATTAGCTGTCTACATTATCCGGATAAGATTTATTTCATATCTATAACTATAATTAATGCTTAGGATATATGATATAGTCGTAAAATGTAATTCTACTCAACTCGGTACGGAAATTTTCTTCCCTCATTCGGAGGCGACTTGATTTCGAGTGCGCCGCTTCTTTCGCGTGACTGCATTTTCTATATATAACCGCAAGCCTCGGAGTTGAACCTGGAATTCTCATACTTTCCCCAGTTGTGACTGCTAGAATGGGGTTGCAACGGTCTGAAAAATGCCACAAAGGGATTGAGAGATGTGAAAGAAGGAGGAATTAGTGCTAGAAAAGCAGGCTTATTGTAGGGTCTGTAGGGATTGAACATGAAGAAATCAACACTACAGGTCAGACTAAATAAAAGAGTGATCTTTGACCGTCGCATTGAGGTCCCTTCCCCAAGCTTTTTTTGTTAAATAAAAAATTAAGAAAAAAAGTCGTTTGCAGATTGGCTAATTGAGCTAGCAAACCGTGGCTTCGGCATGTCCAAGGATACCTTCCTTAAATCAGTGAAAAAGTTCCTAGACAAGGAAGTACGAATTATACCATCTAACAGCCGCACGCGTTCCCCACCATACCCCAGTCATTTGTTATGTTTCATTTCACGATGCTAGGTTATATTTTTGGCATCGATTGCTAGACTACTTTGCAAGTGCAAGAGAAGCTTATAAGTCCTTTGCCTGTCAAAATTTATGTACAATTACGTTGTTATTGATGTGTCCGGATACTGGGCCAGCTGTACGGATACTGGGCAACATAGGAGCTCTGCAAAAATATTAATTTCGCGACCGAAACAAAAGCGAAAAAGTTAAACTGTCTTTCGTCATGTTAAGGACTAAATAGATTTTCTCTGGGCTAAATTTCAGAGCTCTTGCGACTAACAAAGGAAAGTTATTGCAATGTTAAACTGAAGTGTCCGGATACTGGGCAACATACCGTAGGCCATGCAGTACTTTAGTGTTGTCATGCGGTACTTTTATTATTGTGACATGTGTATAAATCTGAGTATAAAACTTTTATTATTGTTTTTGGCCACTTTTTATCACATCCTGGATTAAAATTATTCCGCTGGCATTTACTTTATAAAGGTCCGTCCGAGGTTCCAAAAGGCCGTGACACTTCTTATTGTGTTTTAGATGAGGCCAGAGGTCTACTCACATTTTGCACGTGACTGGGGCTTACAACGATCGCTTCCGGAGAGGATTTTTGATCATTACTACCAAACGGAAACGGAAATGAATTCCAATGTGATATTTCTAACAAAGAATTACCGTTGTCATCCAGACATCCTTAAATTTCCTTCAGACAACTTCTATGGGGGTGGGGGAGAACAAGGCAAAGGGCTTATTGCCTGTAGTACAGAACCAGCACATCCACGATTAGGGCCACTATTGTTCTTTTCTGCCTGTGGAATGGAGGAAGCACGAGAGAATTCCTACATGAATGAAGTTGAAGCTGCTGAAGTTGTAAAGCGAGTCAAGCAGCTAACTGAAGATTGGCCTGCCGACTGGGGTAAAAGAGATCTTTCCAAGATTGGTGTCATAGCCGCCTACATGGCTCAGGTAAAGCTTAAAATACTGCACGTCGAGTATCATTCTTAAATCTGTTGTAGTTTGGAATTATTAGATACATGTCATAATTATGTCACCACGATAAATTTCGTTTCTCGCTACTTCTGATATATTCTATGTTTATTCTTTTGTTCACCTGGCCTTTTTTATATAAGTGGTGGAGCGATGGGGAGGGAAAAAATGCAATGAAGTCTTAAAATCCTAACATTTTTATTGTTATTACGGTGAATTTCCAACCTTTAAGTAGTTCAGTGTTTTTGTAAAATTTTGGGAGTCAAATATTAAGCACGCAGTTAATGATGTCCAAGTGGTCAGCGGTCAGGAGCCAAGATGGACGGTTAATTTTGAGCTCCCGCTTCTTACCTTAATGAGTCGTTTTTCTACTGTCCTTTTGTTACTAGTTTTCACTGAAATCAAGCCAAAAGAGGTAATTATCGTCCGATATCATTACTGTCTATTTTCAATCGGATATTTGAATATCTTTGAAAAATTAATGTACCACCGCCTCAAATCCTTCCTTGGTAAAAACGATATTCTATTTAAGTCACGGTATAGTTTCCGCGAAAACCATTCCACGCAACATGCCATTATTGGCATCGTCAATGTCATACAAAACAATATGGACCAAAACCTTTTCAGTAGAGGGATCTTTTTAGACTTAAAAAAGGCCTTTGATACCGTCGACCATTTAATCTTGCTTCAAAAACGTAATCATTATGGCATCAATGACTGGTTTGCCTCGTACCTTCTCGGTCGTTCACAAGTAACGGAAGTGGGTTTTAACTTATCTACCGAATGTATGATCTCATGTGGTGTCCCACAGGGGTCTTTGCTTGGTCCCCTGTTATTCTTAATCTATATTAACGATATTCACAACTCTTCAGCGAAATTGTCATTCTATCTCTTTGCTGATGACGCGAACTTGCTGTATGCTGACACTAATTTGAAATATCTTGTAAAAACCGTAAATAGCGAACTGCTCAGAGTCTCCGACTGGCTCAATGCTAAAAAGTCAAACTATGTTATCTTTCGTCAATATGGAAAGAAACATGGAAATGATTGATAACTGTACACAAATTCCTACCACGCTTCAATGTGAAGACCATGTTAAATATTTTGGCGTCGTATTGGACAGCAATTTAAGCTGTAGATTTCATATTAACAATGTTGCATCAAAAATAAGCAGAACTGTTGGTGTTGTTACCCGTCTTAGGCACCTCGTCCCACGTACAACCTTTTACATATTTATCAATCATTGATATCGCCTTATCTGACATATGGTTTGGCGGCTTGGGGGTAAGCTGCCAAAACCCATTTGCAAAAAATTCGCGTGCTTCAAAAACGAGTCCTTCGTTTGATGTATTTTGCTGAACCCAGAGTCCATACTATGCCTTTGTTTATTTCCTCAAAAATTACAAATGTTATATGCTGAAAAAGTATCTTCTATAATGTTTGACGTCTCCTGCATGAATGCTTCGTCTAACATCTGTGATTTCTTCACTAAAGCTAATTCAAAGCACAAGCATGAGACCAGGTTTTCTTCGTCTGGAAATTATTATGCCCAATTTCAAGACTGAATCTAAATCAAGATTATTTTTCCAGGTTTGGAGCTAAACTTTGGAACGCAATTCCTAACGAATTTCGTCAACTCTCCAAACGAGCTTTTTTAAAAAATTTCCATGACTTTTTGGTCTCGATAATGGAAGCAGAGGACGGTTATGTTGAAGTGCCCATTCTCCTACAAAAAATGGCAAATTCTGCAGCCTCGACTCAATGCATTGATAATTGATAGGTTCTGTTAGTAGTAAATTTATCTTGTAATATCTGTAAGACTCTTTATGTCTCCTCCTCGGTTTACTAGAACACTAACACTAAACCCCCCCTTTACTGCCAACAGTCAAGCTTTGTTTGCTAGAGCGCCTAACTTAGCAAAGGGTAAGAGATAATGAGATCGAGGCTAAGTAAATTTACTGCGAGTGGCCTTATCATAGGAGCTCGTGGTTATTACCCAAAAGTAATTTTACTTTTCATCTTGTGAATCTCATGCGATCGTAAACCATTGTAAGATAATTCAAAGTTGCGGGCGGAGATGGCAAGATGATGAGTTTGAAAATAAAGTATAGTGTGTGTGTGTGTGTTTGTTAATGATGACATTAGAAAAAAATGATATCTCGTTCTATTCACTATCGATCGATCCAATTAGACAGATGATAAATAGATAGATGGATGGATGGATAGATAGATAGATAGATAGATAGATAGATAGATAGATAGATAGATAGATAGATAGATAATAAGAAGCTAATTAGAAGCTAATTTATATTAGCATGTAAGAAACGAATAATGGAAAACACTATATGGATACACTACAACCATAAATCGTGATTCGTTGCAAATTACAATATATTGAAATCGGATATAATAAAAAGAGATCGAAACCTATTACGAGAATATTTACTCCACAAACGACCACGATATCGGCGGAGAAATAAAGTAGGTGGAAGGAGAACATTTGAACGGTTGTAGAGCTCGCAGTTTTATTGCTACTACTAAGAATGATTTATGAATGAAAGAATCATTATTATCGAAAAAAAAGCACTCATATATACTCATATTGAAAATATGAAATTTGAAAATATGGATTTTATCGGCAATACGTTGTGAATATATAATAATTAAAGAAAGGGGGAATTAAAGGAAAGTGATGTTTACGGGTGTGGTGATGTACGTCAATGAGAACGAAACAAACAAAAATATATTTTAACCAGGGATCAGTATTGAGCACGTTAATAATCACTCAGACAAAAAAAAAACTGATATAGGAAGTTGCCCCGGTGAAGTTATGGGAAATTCTTGCAATTTGCGAATCTCCGTCTCTTTGAATAACCAAAGTCAATATGGGGACCTGTCCATTCCCACCCCAGGCTCAACGAGGCTTAATAAACTGTTACTCCTATTTAAAAAAAAATCCTTCCTTTTTTAGGTACGAGCGATTCGAACACTACTCAGAAAAGAAAACCAAGAGCTGGCGAATGTCACAGTGGAGAGCATTTACAATGTGCAAGGTATGACAATTAGTAATAGTTGACACTACAGCTGCCCCCGTTCTGTATATTGTCGGTCTATAGTATTCTTACTCGTTGTGTAGTTCTTTGAAATGTTTCGATTCATAGTGAAGATTTTCAAACATATTCCATACAACAGGTGAGATAAATGCAGGAAACGCAAGGTTCCATGCACAGCTTCAGCTCGATTTACACAGCTTTGATCAAAACATTCTCAGTTTCGAGAATAGTTTATTCTAAACCATAAGAAAATATTTCATTAGAAGTTGAACTTTTCGCTATTTCTCTTTCACTTTTTACATTCAGTTCATTTTTATTTGCCGGAAAGTAAGCCTTAGAAATTAAAAGGACGTTTGATCGATTCACGCTCGCGCATTGTAGTCTTACTTGAAACTTTATAACGGAATGACATCCATGAGCAGAGAATTTGATTGTCGGCGAATTTGTATAATCGTCCATCGATCTGCTAGTCATAAGCTAGCCGTTGTTCACTCGTCTTGCTTGTTTGGGGCTGAGTCTTATTCCGGTCAAAGAGAGAGAAAGAGTGTCTGGCAAGGTTTCCAATATAAATCAAAGATTTGTGAACTCGTGTCTGGCAAACTTTCCAAGTGTTTGTATATACACAGTTAAACGCACCAACGAGTGTGTTTTGGTCCACCTTTCAAAACAAGTGCTCCATAGAATGTCACTGCGTAACGCAAAAGAGTATCGAAGTATGACTGCACAAGAAATGTCACAAAATCTACCTGAGCGGTCCCTTCGGGATTTTCTGTCTTTACGTCATCCTAACCATTTCGTACTTGCGGGAGCAAACAATAAAAAGGTCATCGTTACCTACCGATTCCTCGCGGCCCCCGTTCAAGCAAATCGAGATTTTTTCTATATTGACTGTATGACTGTATATTTCATCTGTAAGTACTTTCTATAATATACGCGCGAGTTACTAGAGTGCCTTCCTCGTGATTTCGCCTTCTGGGCGAAATCCTGCGGGGGCAATAAAAGCTTAATGGTTCCTTGGCAATTTCTTTACAATTCCTTTACACAGGAAACCGTTATTGAGGCCTTACATATTAATTTTTACAGTACTTGGTCATGGAAACATTTCAAATTTATCCCTGTAAAGCTCTCATATGCTGGGCCCATTTTGATACTTATAGCTTCCCTGACTTTAATTCTTTGCCTTCGTTGACATATTACAACCGAAAGTCACTGGTTTCCTGGGCGACCTTCTGTAAATCAGTTTAAAGGGAAAAACTACAATTTACAATTAACAAGCTACTTTGTTAACATTTAATAGAGGACGATTAACATTTAAGTGACAACCTCATTTTGACTCTGGAGATGTCTACCGCGGACGTTGTCCAATCATCAGTCACTCGTCAACAACAGTCCTACTCAGGACTTTACTTCTCTGGACAACTTCTTTAAATTTGTTGGCCACATAGTTTGAAGGTTCCCCAAATCACCTGAAACAAAGAACCACCGGTTAAATCCATTGTTGTGAACCTACATGTACAGTCTGCTTACTATTCCGTTTATTCTAAACGTATTTCAGTTTCTGTCGACTCTGTATGCTTACAATAATAATAATAAGAAGAAGAAGAAGAAGAAGAAGAATACACTGATAGCAATAATAATAATAATAATAATAACAATAATAATAATAATTTCTATGCTTACTGTTACAGGCAAAGAATTTCGTGCCGTCTTCATCAGTACCGTGCGCACATTCCTCACCTGCAAAAACGTTCATGGTCGTGGAGGATTTGTTGCTGACCAACAATCTCATTTGGAATTCCTGTCAGACTCCACACTTTTGAACACAGCTATAACTAGAGCAAAGTCGTTGGTAGCTGTCGTTGGTGAGCCAGTTTCCTTATGTACTGTTGGTGAATGCCAAGGAAACTGGAGAGACTACATAACGAGGTGCCATGATCGTAAAGCTTTCTATGGGACAGCTGAACAGAAAAAACTTATAAGTGCCTCTCTCTCAAGAATTCATTTAAATCCTGCAGCTCACGACTTTATTCCAAAATCAACAACAAATATATATGAGCAAGACAAAGAAAGAGGAAACGCTTTAAACTTCGAATTAGAGGCACACAGAGAAAGCCAGGATAACTGTCAATTCCCAGCGCAAAACAAAGAAAAGCACCCACCAAATACCCAAATGGCTGATGAAAACGTCATTGATGGAACATCAACATCAGATGAGGACAAACAAGAGGAACCGAATGGAAAAGTCTCAGATTCCTCCAATAATGAGACAAGCTCACAAGATGTAAAAACAAATGAATTCAGCAGCACGTCCCAGTCAACTGAAATCGAAGAAGTCGAAGAAGAAAACGAAATTCTAGATAAATTCCGTCGAGAAATTCTCAAAGATGAAACTGGTTTTCCAAAATTTGTGGACAACATAATCAGGGTGCTTCTGGAGAAGTGTAAGGAGAAAAGAGAAGAGGATGCATGCCATCAAGGATCATCACACTTTTTTCGCTCATCGAAGGCAGTGAAAACTTCGCAAACAAGGTTTAAAACAGAGAGTCATTCAAAAAACCCAACAAAAGAATTTTCAAGTTTCAGCGATCCGTCCATGGGAGATTACACAATCCGCACTATTAATGGTCGGGAAGAATTCCAGCTGCTTGATCTTGGATTTACTAGAGCACCATCCTCTTGTGAAAAACCGGTTACGAATTCCTCGTTGCAACCTAATTTTCTTAAGCCGGAGAAGTTACGTAGTGTTTTGCTTGAAAACCCAGAGAAGTATCTTCCTTGCACCCTTCGCCTCAACGCTGAAAGTATCAGCTCAGCATACGCGATGGTTTGGGACACGAAAACACCTGATATTAAGATCAAGGGACCAATCCGAGGAGTGTTTGATATGGATCGTGTTGTAGTTGAAAAGAAAAAATACCAGCCTTTGGAAACTGGTGACGTTCTTCAGTTTCAGGGAAAAATTGTTGGTAAGTTTGCGGCAGGATTGGCTCAGTCGGTAAAGCGCTTGACTTCAGAGCGGGAGGTCGCGGATTCGATCCCGGGACCGGGACCAACACTCAGGGTCTTAAAATGACTGAGAAATGAAGGTACTGCCTTTGCCCTACAAATGGCTAGACCTCCGCGTGGCTCGGATGACCACGTAAAATGGCGGTCCCGTCTCCAGTAGGAGACGAAAAAATAGTGTCACCAATTAGTGCTTTCGTGCTTAATACATTGACACTCAAATAAAGTGCTTAAAGTGCTTAAAAGTTTCGTTTGTTAGCTTTTCTGTAAACGCAAAACCCAGTCCTTAGGTCGTATTAAACTTTTAACAGACAGCTAATTGACTCCCTGGTAGACAAAAAATAAATGCAGTATTTGAAAGAGAATATTAGGCAACTTCTTGGTTGGATACCTAACGTAAACCACAAAACCTAAGCCTATGTTTATTGTTACTATATTTACAATTACTTGAATGCATGGTGACTGCACTGGTAGCAGTGGCAATGTACAAACCATGAGACTATCTACCTCCACTTCTTTTACCCTTTTTATCTCTTAGAAACCAATACAGTTGACAAAATCAGATATTTTACTTTCTTTAGGTGTGCTGAATCATATTATTAGCCCTCATGAACGCCAGTACGTTTGCAGGGTAGATTATGAAAACCCTCAATTGCTGCGTCCGATAAACAAGTCGCTGCCAAGAATAGTCTCCCTCGCTGGAGAAAATGATTGTATGCCTATCTGTAAAGAAATTCGTGATGGCGATGAAACGAAAGTGAAAGTCGACGAGATTGATCTCACGGAATTTCGAAGTGGAAAGTTCCTTTTCCTCGTCCAGTACTTGCAGTGGAGGTCGGACTGCCGTTACCCAATAGGTATAATTCTCAGAAAGTTGTCGCAAGAGAAGACAATGGTTGCCAGTTTGAAGATTTTGTTTGCTGAGCATGGGATTAGGAAATCATTTGACGTTGACAGCATCAGCCATGTACAAAATGAGTTTCCACCTTCATGGTCGATACCTCCTGAAGAGTACAGAACACGCAAGAGAATTGATGAGGCCTTCACGGTTGATCCCGAAGACTCGAAAGATCTCGATGACGCTCTTACCATGGAACAGCTCTCCGATGGGATCTATCTAATAGGAGTACATATCGCTGACGTGGCTTACTTTGTTAAAGAAGGGTCCCCTTTGGACAAAGAAGCTTTTTTTCGCTGTACCTCGTATTATCCAGGTAATGGCAAGGAAAGCATACCTATGCTGCCTCGTAAGCTTAGTGAAAGTTTATGCAGTCTTCTTCAAGGTGAAGACCGTTTGTCCTTGTCACTGTTCTTTCAGTTAACAAAACAAGGGGAACTTGTTTGTCCTCCAAAGATCGAGCGCACTATTGTCAAGTCTTGCTGTAGGCTCTCTTACTCGAGTGCCCAAAGTATAATTGATGGTGAACAGTATGTTCCACAGGAGGTGTCAGAGGACATCAAAAATAAGATCCAATGCCTCAGTTTCCTTGCACAAAGAAGGAGAGTAGCACGGATGAAGGATGGTGCCTTTGATCATTGGTCCAACAGTGACCATGATTCTAAAGATTTTAAGGCCCACGAAATGGTGGAAGAGATGATGCTTCTTGCAAATGAAGAAGTAGCAAAACTCCTTGCTGATGTTGCTCCGATACGAGCCCAGTTGCCACCCAAAGATCACAGGCTGAACGAATGGGTTTCACTATACGGAGAGTTCATCAAATACTCATTGTTCCTTCGTGGTTTCTATCCAAAAGAAACTCTTGAAAAAATGTCGTCCAAAGATGAGAAGCGTTCAAATTCCACAGAATTTAAAGTGCAACAGTCTATATGGTCTCAAATTTGTGATGCTGCAATCTCAAAAGACCAAGACAATCTGCAATTTTTGATTTGCAACGAGAGTCATCATCCACAAATGGCTGTCGCCAACTCACAGTTTCAACGAATTCAGCCGAAATCTCAATACGTCTGCAACGGAGATGGGTATAAAAACATTTCCCACTTCTCGCTGGGGATGCCATGTTATACTCATTTTACATCACCTATACGGCGTTATGTTGATATCCAAGTTCATCGACTGGTTTTAGATCTTATCTCCCAAAGTCGCAACACAAACAAGCCTTCAAGGGAACAAGTCGCCAAAGTGTGCCGCCGCTCTACCTTTGCGCACGACAACTCCAGAAAGTTTGAGAAGGGATGTAGCAAGATTCATCTATCGGCGAAGCTCAAGGAAAAAAGTCATGAAACCAAGGCAGTGATTGCTATGATGGACAATCAAGCCTTCTCTTTGGAAATTCTGGACAAGGAAGATAATTACCTCTCGACGAGGCAGAGAAAAATAAATCTGAGTAAACTTAACCCACTCTCAGTTAGCTTTGATCAGGATGGGCCTCGTATAACGTTAACATGGCTGTTGAGAATTTACATAGCCCCAACTACTGACATACGTTTGGAGCCTTTAGATGAAAGACAGGAAGTAGAAAAACTTTTGTGTCACGCAGAGGACGAAAAAGAGGAAGTTTTGAGCCTTCCAGGAAATAACTGGCAGAAGATTCAGGGGGCGCTCAGAGAAGAAGACTATGAGACACTCAGAGCCGTTGTAGATAAGACTGACAAATATTTGAAGTCAGCTAAACGACAGGCTGGATTCGAAAGCACAAGAAGGCACCCGAAGGAAGCGAAGAGGAAGGAAGAGTGTTACAATGATGAAACTAAAAGCGGGCACTTCTACGAGAAAATCATGCATCTTAGAAGGTTCGATGTTGTAAAACTCCAGCTCACTGCAAGCACAATACAAGGAACTCTTCATCCAAGGGTTCAGCTCTTCAAAATCAACCCCAGAGTGCATATTTGTCTTGAACACCGGAAATACCCAAGGGAATGTTTCGCTTCAACAACTAGGTATCAAGCATCCAAGCAAGGGTACTCTAGTCTGGACGACTACATCAGAGCGTGGAAGCCTGTACTTGCAATGGAGGCCGCCACTGGTGCTGTCGGCGAAGGCGACGAATTCACCATACACTATCTAAATGTAAACTGGAAAAAGACGTACAGTGGGAAAGTAGAGGGCTCTTTTTCCATTCCGCAGGAATACTGCACCAAACATCAGATTGAATTCTTTGGTGGCGATTTTGCTTGCGTCCGCGTAAGACAAGGCGACATTAAGTTGGGAAACCATCTAGGAGATTGGCGTGCAGACCCAAAGGTACAAAATATTTCTTGTTAATTGCTACCAATGGTCGACACAGCAGTAAAAATGTAGAAATTTTCAAAAATAATGCGATTTTTTTTAATTTTAACAAACATATTTCGACGGTACACCCGACATCGTCAGTGACCGTTTACAGCGATAAAACGTGCCTGTTACAATTTATATGTTACACTGCGTTGGAAAACAATACGCTACATAAATTTCAGTTAAAGGTAACGGAATTAATAGATGCGCGTGCACGCATCTATCGAGAAAGCGTAAGATTGATATGTTTGACTTTTTGTTTAAGGCCAGGCTTTACCCACTTAATGTACCTCAAGGGGCAGAGTCTTGATCCCGTGGAAGTTACAAGAGATACGACAAGACTCTGAAGCCTGTAAATGCTTATAAGACATGAGAAGATCTGTCCTTTGACGAGTGCTCGTGCACCCGAGTGGAAAAGAGGCGCCTTTGCCAGCGTAATATGAAAAAGCTTAAAAAATTAGTACGCAAACCCGTGAAGGTCTTCTTGCAGTATACGGTGGAGAGAGGGAGGTGTGGTGATTTGTTGTTTAACAGCACATCAAGAAAAGGTAAGATGTGGGTGTGCAACTTTCATGAGGATGACGGGTATACCACTGAAACATGTTTGTTAAAATTAAAAATGTCACATTATTTCTGAAAATTCCTTGTTAATTCAATTTGCACGCGATCGATAAACCTAGAAGTAAACCTGCAAAATTGATAATTGAAAAATGAAGACCCGAATGTTGTTCTTTATTTAAATGGTTAATGGTACTTTATCTAAGACTGTAAAAGTACTTTATCAAGTTGTTATTTTTTCCCTTTGCATGTAATTGTCAAGCAGTTGGAAATGAGTTTGTCAAAGGGAAGAAAATGCTCTCGTGGTAAATCGTGTGACGACTCGGACAGCTTCTGGGTGGGACACTGCATCGTCAAACGCGTAGAGGAGTTAAAGGATTTGAACAGCTTGGAAATTACAATGGTCCTCCATCAATCATCCTCAAACTTTCCAGAAGGTTTGGAAACTAAAGATCATCCGAATGTTTTGACTCTTATTCACAGATCACTCATGCACAGGTAAAAAGTCTCTGTTTTCATGTTAGTAGGCTGATTTAGCAACACGACGCGAAAGCCAGTCAACGACGGAAAAGCGCGCTGAAAGGACTAAACACGACTTCCGGCGCTCAATTTGCCGCTCTGGGATTGGTCAAGCCAGTTGTTTGATTTGCACGCGCCGTCGTCAAGTGACGTTCCGTTCTGTTGCTAAATCAGCGTAATGATGGAGCAAGTAGTAGTTGTAGTGGGAATAGAGGTTGGTGAAGCTGCCGAAGTAATAGTGTAATAGCTATTTTAGAATAAGATATTTTATGACAAGTTGTTTGACGCAAAAAGAGAAGTTGTGTTTCAATAATCTGTGGTATTAATTAATACGTGATGTGTAAACTGAAAAGGATGCACCTTCATGATACCTTTATTGACGTCAAATATTCATCATTTTTATAGACGGATGTTCTCAGCTCTCTGTGATTGCCTAGAAAATGCATCCCCGTTAGTTCACGCCATTTGTTTGGGACTTGATCCAGTCCAAGGTATGAGTAAGAATAATCAGCTTAGTTGCATATCCCCTCTTGAATCTAATAAAACGATGAAGTAAATTTACATGACTGTATTGTGCCGTTTTCAAATCAAATCAATCAAATTTACATTCGTTAGAGCGACGACTTACATATAAACGTCCGCACGATGTAGATTTAGGCAGTCCAAGGGATTTCCAGAACAGGTTCATTTTCAGATATCCGTTAACTACTGCTAATAAAGCCCTGGGCTAATACAGGTTCGCAAGGTTTTTTGGATAGGCTTTCGGTAATTCGCTGTTTACATCGTTCGATAGTTTGATTCCCTTTTCATTGGCATAATTCAGCGGGCTAAAATACATTTTAGCCCACCAAGTTCTCCATGCCAATTTTCCCTTTTAGACAGCACTATACACCTCAATTCCCGACGAAGTGACAAAACGTTTTGGTAGCGAGACGAAAATTAGAGTGTGTTGTCTTTTACCCAATCACCGCAACATCCTGAATTTAGATGCTTGACGCAGGTAAATTAATGCATCTGAGGCAGGCCCCTATTCTCACTCTTTCTCTCCTCCAACGGCGTTTCGCCCTCTCTGATATACTGTCCAATAACCCCTTAAAGGGACACAGCTGAAGCACATGCGCATTAGATACCATTTCTTAGCTGATTTGCATGTCATAAGACAAGCGCGTGAAACAGAAAGTGAGAAGCGGATCCGGAATACTCAAAACAAACCCTGAAGAGTTGAACTAGTTACAAGCTGAAATCGTGATTATAGCCCCTAGGCCATATCAGAGCACTCATTGTGTATATACCGTTGGGAATTCATCGATGGATTTTCCCAGGGAAAGCCGAACATCGACAAATACTTCTGAATTCGATCATCAGTAGAGGTGATAAATGAAACGGAGTCTGCATGAATCAATGTCGAAGGTTTAAGGTCGAGAAAGTTTGATTTTCCAAACACATGTAACCTTTTCCATCGATTTTCCAAATATATATAACGGTTATTTGCTCGCCAATCTTATTGATTCATTTCTTTTGTTATTTTGATAAACGAAGGCGATTTCTCCCGCCCGGCGCCTACGCGTTTCTGACTTCTTCTGTTCATGTTTCTTTGGATACTGTTCTCAACCAAATATGATAAAATCATGTCATAGGATGGGTTAAAGTTTGCTCAAAAAGAGGTTTTCTGTAAAAGATTGAGGATCAAATGAAACACAAGGCAAGATTGAAGCGGATTTCTTGATGTGTCCGACGAGTAAATTTGATTTCGGGTTGACGTAAACGCTTTAAGGAAGGCCTGATATTAAGATTACATCACACTCTTTTATTGTGCTGTAATTGAATTTGCATTTGTTACAATGGAACTTCGTTGTGACGAACCTCTACATAACGAAGACCGTAGTACAACTAACTTTGCCCCAGATGAAAACGATTCTCGATATTGCGAAAATACCAATAAAATACCTTGGCCCCTCGTTAAATCGAGGCTCCTGTGTGGACCATTGTGGTAAGATTACAGTCAAGTCAGTATTTCGATAATTATGTGCTCACTGGTTTGTTTGTACGTCAAATATGCTTATTAAATAAAATCCAACGTTGAATTGTATTTCATTAGCAGAGTTTGCAGACGTTCCTTCTTCTGATCATTCAGTTGTCAGGGAACATCCCATTTGTGGACTTAGCAAGCCTTTAAACCAGTACCAGGAAGCCGCAGTGAGAGAAGCCCTTGTTAAACCTCTTACCCTTATTCAGGGTCCTCCAGGTGACTAATAGAACTCTGCTGTATCATTGTTTGTGAAAAACTGTCAGCAGAGAATGCTACGTGCTGTGATTTGTACCTTGCCCACGATCTATTAGATTCCAGACACTCGCACAAAGTCTCGGAAAATTTGTATATTTTTGGTTTGTTTATTTGTCCAAAATGATTCGCAGTTTTGGAATTAAAGTCTGCGAGATCTATTAGGATCAAGAATTTGAAGGCCTCGAAAAAAATTTAGCAGGAGTAGTTTACAACTACGAAAAACGGGAAAATCGAGACAAATGCTCAAACTGGAAGAAATCTAGTTTAGGGCGAAAGTTAACCTTAACTTAAATCAATTAAAGCAAAAAGTTTGTCTACGTTCTTAAAACCCTTTAAAAAAGAACATTATTCACAACCTGAAATAGATCACTTGTTCACTTACCTAGTTTTGCCAAATTTCATCTAGGTTATACCCGTTTACGGGGCGTCTGAATCTGACCTTAATGTTATCCAGAACTAGATGCCATAAGCGCCGTTTTATTCTTACACTGTTTCCATTTTGAAAGGACTTCGATTGATAATCACCAACCTGCTTCATCTTTCCTAAAAAAAGACTTCTTACGATCTCGGTAGAAGACAACGTACCCGTCCTAAAACTAGTATTATATTGAGCGTTTCATGTCTACCTTTGTCAACAGATTGATATTTAAATGGCATAGCCTTTTTAGTAAAGGACAGGAGAAATTTTGTTGACTGGCCTATTTATTTCATAATGTATATTCTTGAGATTCTGTAACCTAACATACAGTCGCTGTATGTACCTTTCTCTAATGTGAAATAAAGACTTTTGCTATTCTAAACTGACACAAATCCTCGAACAGTCAAGCAGTGCGAGGCAAGGTTGTTGACACAAACGCCCCCTTCGGCTCGTGTGCCCCTTCTTGAGCTGAAAAGTATAGAAGCATTAGGGAGTTCAGCCAGTACAGTGTCGACTGCAACGTTTTCCCAACAATGACCTTCGTAAAGATTTTTAATATTTTTTGGGCTGTATTCTAAATTACTAGCGAATCTTCTTTCTCATCCGCTGGATCTCTGGTTGGTCATTGCGCGTTAATCGATATTTCAGAGTTTGCAAAACATGTTTTAGGTAGTCCATAGTCTGTTGGGTTTCAACTGCTGACGGACGGAAAACGCAGCCAACACCTCATACAAACTATTCGGACAACAGCAACATTCTCCTGAGGAGTTTTCATTTTCATAGCCTATCTGTTACATTCTATAATCAAATGTTTAATCCACTATCTGCGTTCTTTAAAATACTGCCAATCCGTGCAACAATGTTTGCATAAATTTTTCGTCTTTTTAAAGGTACTGGTAAGACTGTAACTGGTGTCCACATCGCAAACTTGTTTACCAAACTCAATATGCAGCTTCTATCTCAAGAGACCAGCTCGTACAACACTGACACGGAACCTCCTAAAGCACCACCACAAGTTATTTATTGCGGACCATCAAACAAATCAGTGGACGTCGTAGCTTGTAAGTGCCCCATAAGTGTCATGGGACTGACAATCTGCAAAACCTCTCGGCAACAAAATAAGACCCTGCGGCGTTTTGAAAATGAAAGCCAAAGGCAGACCAAGCACCAAAACACAAGTATTTCAAAACACTTTTCATTATAAGGCTCGAACTGAAGAAAGCGTTATTCTGTTTGACTTGTGTGGATGAAGAAAAACTGATGACAGATATAGATACAGATAAGTTGGCTCTTATATCTGACTGTCCTTTTCTCATATGTGTTTCCTATGTTCTTTCCTATGAAATGATATCTCAATGAAACCCAAAGCAATAAGGAATGAAAGGACAGTTAAAAATTTTTCTGAGACTGTTAAAGGTACACGCTCTATGCGTCCGGGCATGGGTATTTATAAACTAAACATTCTTGGATGGAGACGTCTAAATAGAGTGACAATTTCTTCCAGATCAACAGGTAAATCGTACTTGATATGCATTAGAGCAAGGGAGGAGAGCCTACTCTCACCCATAGTACACGTCGCTATAATTCAACGTGCACCAACTCAATAGTTCATGTCTATATAGGTTCGAACTTTGACAGTGTACCCAGTCTTATTAGCAGTGCTTATTAGGAATCTAAGCTACGACTGTAATAAAGTTAGCAGTTTTCTGAATTTTTTTAGGGTTTTCTGTTACCTCAACATTTACGTCCCAAAGGGGGTTCGTCCGAACCTCTCAAAGCCCCTTCTACGCGCCTACCCTACGGTACAACCACGTCAAGTCACAAACATAACGCATAGCTAGGAAAACAACATACAGGTACTAGTGGAAACACCAAAGTTAACGGGAAAGTGATCAGCCACGGCAGAATTGTGATGTTTTCTTGATTTGTGAAGGTGTTTCATTTAAGATGGAGTGACTGATAACTTCGATTTCTTCTATAGTGGTAAACACCACCGTCCATACCTTCGTTGTTTTACCCTATTTTTTTACTGTCCCGACTCAGGTTGATGTTTTTCTTTAGTTTCTGTTTTGTTTTTTTTTTGGCTCTGAGTTGGTGTGTGTTTCCATCAGATTTCTTTGTGCCACCACATTTAAGACTATAGTAAACCAAGGCACGTGATACCTCGGAAGGTTAATTTTTTTTAGTTTTTCGTGGTCTGGTTGGAAAGTTGCTGTCGTGATCTCTAGAGGACTCTGTCAGTGGCTTACTTAGACAAAGCTTAGTTGAAAACATAATTGAAACTAAATGTGTTTATTTGACCTGAATCCTTAAGGTAAAATGCTTGAGATTCCAGAGCTGAAGATTATCCGTGTGTACGGAGATCGAAGAGAAGAGGCAGAGTTCCCTACTCCAAACAGACTTAAGCCCCTGAAACATTCAACAGATGATGAGGATCAGACAAAAACATTAAATCAAGAGCTCAGAAAAGTTTCTCTACATCACGTCATTCGAGGAGACACGTGTCCATTTGCCTCGGAAATTCGAGCATATGACCTCAAATTTGTAGCCGACAGGAAAGGTGGTGTCAGATCCAGCGACACTGAAGTGACGAAATACAGCGAGGTACTATCTTGATAAATATCATGCCAGTCGTTTTAACAATGTGTGATCGTGCAGGAGCTATCTCCTCCTACTTTTTGGAAAAGTTTTACATTTAATGTGTTTAAAGAGTTTTCATGAAAAAGATCAATTATACCTACCAATAAAACATCTTTGCTCTGTATTTTTCTATAAGAAAGGAACCCAAGGGGGTATATTTTTTATTCAGGCCCAAAGAGTTCCAAAATCTTCCTTAAAGGAAAGTAGCGTTCCTCCTGTAGGCGGTCATGTAAAGAGAACACATTCACTAAACCACAGACACACAAATCTTCCTTACAACCTCGGACCCATCCTCCATGACCCTTGTTCCCCACGAAAAGAAACACTCAGAACATTCTAATATACTCGTTTTCTAATACATGCATGTTTTATCATTACACTGATCAGCTGATAGGCAAAGCCAAGGAGTGGGTCCTTACATCATCGGGAGTCCAAGTGATCTTGTGCACATGTGCAGTTGCTGGCAGTCCTAGAATAGTTTCGTGTTGTAATAATATCCGGCAATGTATTGTAGATGAATGCGGCATGTGCTTGGAGCTTGAGTCGCTCGTGCCAATCAGGTTCTCAAAGGCTCGTCAAGTGGTTCTGATCGGTGATCATAAGCAGCTACAGCCAGTAATTCTGGACGATATGGCAAAGAAACTTGGTTTAAACGTCTCTATGTTTGAGCGACTTTCGACACGATCCATAATGCTGGAATTGCAGTACAGGATGGTGAGAAAACTATGCGTTATGCCCCACCACCAGTGGTATCCAGTAGGATAGACCGGCTTTTGATTTGGAATTGCTTTATGTCGGTTCCCTAGGTTCAATTTAATGGTGTCTATTCTTGCCAGTTAATTAGAGGACGGATAGAGAATAATAAAAGTTAGAATCCAGTTTACGAAATGCGCTGTCGTTTAAAGTACGTTGGTAAAGAGCCAACACTCGAAACACCGGCTTTGCCTCGAGTCTCAGTAGATGCGATAGTGGCACCTATAGTTAGCCAACTCTCAAAACATCCTTTCGTTTTTGCTTTTGACTTTTAGCATGAAAATATCTGTAGATTTCCGTCAGAGTATTTCTATGAGGGGAAGTTGAAAACCGATCAAACTGTGCCAAATGATGATCCTCTTCTACAGTCCTTTTGGCCTGCTCAAAGGCTGCAACCAGCTAAAAACCTTCCTATAGCATTTTGTCACGTCGAGGGAGAGGAGAATGCAAGTGCTATCAAGACATCTCACAGCAACGAACAGTCGAAAGCAAACATGAAAGAAGTCAGGAAAGTGGTAGGTGTGATGTGTGATGGTATTCAAATTAGCACACTAAAATTATGTGCCATGATACTTGTAAATGGCAGATATATGTGCATGTGGAATGTCTTAGCATCAACGCCAATGCTACTAGGTTCTCCTTAAAATATGTGACAATGTTCACATTTTGCATTAAAACTGAAACACTTAACAATACTTCGATACGCTGAAATTATAATCGAAGTCAGAATGAATGACTTTTTCACAGGTTGTTCAATTTGACTACAACATTTGCATTCATTCATTCATTTGCATTCAGGGAAGAACATATCGATTATGACTTGTATCATTGACTTTTCTGTGACAATGAACCTTAAATATGAGCGAGGACAGCATTAAGATATGATATTACAGTGGCAGTTTCGTTTGTTTCGTTCAAAATTATCAGAACGTTGTATGATTTTGATTTAAATGAAGCTATTGACGTTTATGATTATTTTTATCACATTGGCTAAAAGTTTCAGATCCTAAAATCGCGAAAATTAAGTGACTTGCGTCCCAAAATTTACGAAAAATCGCAAAATTGGAGTGCTGCTAAATAAGGGTTTTTCAAAATCGCTAAATTAATGTGTCGGCAAACTTTCTTGTATAATAAGGTTTTTTTAACGGCTAAAACGTTGAGTTTTCCACTGGTTGATAATGAAATAAAGGCTAGTATATGAAAAAAAGGTGGGAATTCCAATGAGTTGGTGTTAATTTCAGTGGAAGCTGCCGAATGAAATAGGCTACTCACTGTATCGGTCGGAACTCCAGTGTCTTTATCCTGAATTAAACAAAAAGGTGAAGGCTTTGTTTGATTCATTTTAATTGATTTTTATTTTTCAGATCGACGTCGTCAGATGCTTGGTGAAAAAAGGGGTGCATCCAACAAATATTGCGATCTTATCACCTTATAGAGAACAGAGACAAAGAATCAGTGACACCTTGCCGAAAACGGACAAATACAAAAATGTTTTAGTAACAACAATCACCAAAAGCCAAGGTAATTTAAAACTAGTCGTTTTTCTTCCCTTTGTAAATGTATCATTCTAGGACTACCTTGACTACTAAAACACAATGTATGAAGTGCTCAAACGTCCAAGGATGTGAACTGTTTCGATATATCAACAACAACAACAACAACATGATCTTTATTTGCATGACTATAGTTATAGACTGTAGTTACAGTATTGCAAAAGCCTTAACATAAAGTTACAATTTAAAACAATCATAATGCAATGCAATGATTACGACAGTCAATCAAGTGTCATCAGCATGATTTGATAACAAATTAGTACGTAAGTCATTACATAATGAGACAAATTTCAACAAATGTGAATTTATGGAAAAATTCTGTGAATTCATCAATTTAATTATTAATTCTGTGTAAGATAGCTGATTAACGTCGACAAAATTTTGTTGGATTTGATTGTAGAATTTCTTCCTTGGAATTGAATATTTTGGACAATGGAAGAGAAAATAAAATTCGCCTTCAATTATACCAGAGTTACAAATAGGGCAGAATCTATCGTTGCGGGAAGTTTGATTATATCTTCCAGTTTCAATCATGAGTTTGTGGTTACTTATACGAATTTTCACTAAGCCTTTCCTATTGGTTGAATTTCTAATTACGTCTAGATAACTTGAAAATTTATAATCATGTTTTAATAAGCTGTAAAATTGTAGTTTCTTAGAATGATGGATTGTATGTTGCCAATATGGAATGTATTTTTGGTTTATTATATCAATAAACCAAACATATAAACATCATCTTGCACGCATCATTGTCAGCAACTTAAGTCAGGCGATGGTAAGGCCTCCACAATTTCGTGAATGCGTTTCTTATGATGTTTTAGCGATGAAAAGAACTCACAGATAAATATCTTTTATTATATAAACACCAAAGAAATACCAGGTGAGCTTTCGCGCGAAAACATGACATCTACACACGTGAAAATACCATGTTATCTTCACATGTGAAAAGATCACCGCTGCTATGGCTATATATTAAAATCACGCCTCTCACAGCGAAAAACTAGCAAAGTGAAGTGGTTTGGTATTACATTCGTGTTTATATGATAAATACAACATTACATGGTCGCTTGAAGATCCAAATTTCTCTTGTCGTGCTGAAAAATATTTCACTCGAAATTTGCACATGCCATGGCGGACTTCGGTGTCTACGGAAGCTCCACGTGAAAGCTTCCTACACGAGAAGTTAAACAGCCTTAACCTATATCGGACCATACTCAGAGCCATACTGGAAGAGAAATATTCGAAATGAGTCAAGCTGAAAGATCTATGGGCGAAAGAATTCCTTCCTAACATCTGAATGGAAATTCGCAACAAGTTCGAATCGCTCAAAGCGAGCATACAAAATTTGAAGAGAGGATTTGACGAGCTCGAAAAGTCGCGAATTTTCATTTCATCAACAATCAAGGATCTTAAAGAACACAATGAGGGTGTGAGAGGCCAGATCCAACAGATCGAGGAAAACATAAGTAACCTTGGCAGCAACGATTACAGAGTAGAGGTCAAACTAGATAAACTCGAACAGTAGAAGGAGTGCGTGGAAATTAACGGTATTCCAGTTGTGCCTAATGACGATCTAGCGCTGTTAGTGCGTGAAACTTCAGATCTCGACGTAAACAATATTTCGATCGCTCATTGCCCGTAGCCATCAAAGAAAGTGAAGGATAGACTGATTGTCAAATTTACCCGAAGAGAGGGGATGAAATTTTCACCAAGAGGAAAATTTTGAAATCCAAACGGACGAAAGATCTTCTGTCAGTCGCCAGTGAACCAGAATCTGGTATAGTAAGCCATAAAGCGCAGATCCATATCAACGAAAGTCTGAGGCCCTATAAAAGACGACTGTTTGGTAGAGTGCTGCAATTCAAGCGTTCCCTAGCCTGTGAACAGGCTTTCTGTTTGGGCCGAGGAAGGGGTGAAAAAATCACGAGGAGAGGGAGGGCCTCTCCTCGCGATTTAGAATTTATTTGGACGGCTAAACGGTAAAGTACTGCTTGAAAAATCAGAGACCTCCACCACAAAGTCTTCTGTCACCCATGAGAAATTCGCAGAGTTCCTTGATCAGTGTAATTAACTGTTATATTGTACATTCATAGAGATTTAAATATGGATGATTAAGAGGAAAACGTAAGTGGTAATTTACCAGACAGGCGGCACGATCTTGACCTTTATGATCTCTTCTCGGATCCAGATAAATCTGATGAGCGTAATCCAGATTTAATTTTAACTTCGCCTTGTTCAGATTATTATTCTGTTCGCCGTCTTAACAAAACGCTACTAAATTCTCAGGCAAAATCGACTTTCAATTCTCCACTGCAATATCAGAAGTCTATCTAAAAATCTAAATCTTCTGGATGAACTATTTTGCTCCCCTGAATCCAAAGTGGATATACTTGGAATTACTGAAACTGAATTAAGTGAGAAATCGATTTCTAATATTGATATGGAATCAAAGGCTATAATTTTTATCACACCAATTCGCCAACAAACGCAGGCGGAGGCGGCTTTGTATGTGGCCGACAATCTTAAAGCTATACCCAGACCTGATATTAAACTTAATATGGAACTAGTTAAATCTTGCTGGGCAGAAATTGATGCTGGTAAAGGCAAAAAGAAAATGAGCATAGGCTGCATTTATAAACATCCTACTTGCAACTTATAACAATTTCGAAACCAATTAAATGATATAATCAAAACACTTAATCCCAATAAACACGAAATTTACATTCTTGGCGAAAAGTTCTCAATAGACATGCTTTTTGCTAATAATATCCTGCCTATTATTACTAAACCTACAAGACTTACTGATCATACAGCAACACTCATTGATCGTATTATACAAATTATGTGCAAAATTTCGCAGCAGGAATCTTAACAGTAGATATAACAGATCACCTCCCAAATTTCCGCTTTGTTAAAATGCAGCCTCCGCGGAATAAAAACAAAAGATACTTCAGAGGTTTTTCTAAATTCGACAATGAACGTTTTTTAGATGATACATTTATAAACCTGATTAATTGGCACGATATTCTTGACCCAGATAGGAAACTAAATAAAAAGGCCCAAGAAGCAACCAGCACCTTGAATATAATCGTGGATAAACATAAATCCGTCAAGTTAGCTAGCCAGACAAGCAAAAGCAACTCAATAAGCCATGGCTTACTAAGAGCATCCTAAAATCAGTAAAAAGGAAACAGAAAATGTACCATACATACTTCTTAACTAAAGACTCACAAAAAATTAAGGAATACAAGCATTATGCAAATATTCTCTCACATTTAAAGAGCAAAAGCGAGAAAGACTACTATACCATGCAATTTTCAAAGCATTAAGACAACCTCAAGCAAACCTGGAAGTTTATTGGCACCCTCGTTAAAAGGAAAACCAAAGGTCAAACCTTCCCCTAAGAATTATCCATAATAATAGGACTTTTTTGACGGAATAGGATCGACATAATAATTTGTTTGTAAATATTGGGCCAACTTAAGCAAAAAAAATAAAAATTGATCACCCAGGTCCATTGCAATATTTAGCGTCTACACCAATAAACAGTTTTTACCTTGCACCAGTAACCCAAGCCCAAGTATTTACTCTATTTTCTTGGCTAAAAGAAAGCAAAGCATCTTTTAACATACCTAATAAACTCATTAAGCTCGCAAGTGGACCACTCGCTGTACCGTTCACAAAAATATATAATGAATCATTACTATCAGGGCAAAGTTTCTGAAATTTTTTAAATATCAAAGGTGACTCCAATTTTAAAAGTAGTAGTGTATCTGAGCTAGGGAATTACCCACCAATAGCTGTTATTTCTACTTTCAGTTAAGTACTGGAAAGACTGGTATATGACCAACTTGTTTCCTATCTGGAGAAAGAATGTCTACTTTTTAACTCTCAGTTTGGTTTTCGAAAGGGATATTCCACTGAATACGCCATTCTAGAAACTCTAGAGAATTTAAAATCAGCAATTGACGATCAAAAAATAACGTGTAGTATTTTCGTAGATTTTCCAAAGGCCTTTGATGCAATCAACCACAAAATTCTATTAGGAAAACTTGATAAAAAGGGGCTCCGGGGACTTCCCCATGGATGGTTTCGAGCTATTTATCTAATCGTTAACAATATGTCAAAGTTGGTAACGCATAGTCTAGCCTGAAAACTATCACATGTTGTGTGCCTCAAGGCTCTACATTAGGTCCACTGTTGTTTCTGCTGTATATCAATGTCTTCCCCACGGCTTCAAACAAATTAACCCTTAGCGTCTTTGCAGATGACATAAATAGTTTTTACCCCTCTAAAGATGCAGCTGAATTCCATAGAGCAATTAATGAAGAACATGGCAAAGTCCTAAAGTACTGTGCCGCTAATATGCTGACAATTAACATTTCAAAAAGACTAATTACATGATAATAACCTCACCTAAAAGGAAAACAAATAGAATGACAATTTGTAATATAGAGTAAAAATCGCAGATTAGGTATTTGGGAGTTTTTTTTATTGATGAACATCTCAAATGGGATACTCAGCTCCAACACATTAACAACAAATTGACAAAAAATGTTGGAATTCTATTCAAGCTCAGACATTAGGTGTCTCTGAATACGCTCAAACAACTGTACTACACTTTTTTGTATCCGTAAAGTAAGTCGAAATAACTGTCTTCGTTGCATCTTCTTTGAAAATAAAAGAGAAAGTCCTACATCATAATTTATACTATCAGTAATCTTAAAACTACAAAAAAAAATTTAAATTAAAAGTTGCCTCCCTTGTACAGAAAATTCAATATCAAAAAAACAAAACACCTCCTGTTCTTTATGATCTAGTTCAACCGGCTTCTGCAGTCCATAACTATAATACCAGGTATGCCACTAATCAAAACTTGTACAGACCATCTTTCAGAACTAATTATCGCCTTGCAAGATTTAGTCGGTAGTGGCTACAGACACCTGGGAAACAATACCTATTGAAGTTAAATGCCCCCCTTACAATTCTTTTAAAAGAGATTTTAAACTCTTATTACTTGATCGTCAGTGAATAACATTCATCTAGACATCTACCTTTGCTACTTTACAAATTAATTAATTATAATAAATAATTAAATTCTTATATATCAACTTAATAGTCGATATCTTTGTATACTCTCTCCCTGTAATAATAGATAAGAAAATTGTACGAGCTATTTAACTAGTTTTGCAAATGAAACCGCGTCCCATTAGTAACTGCGCCGTGGTAGTGGCCAATCCGAAAGCTTTGCTCCTTTATTTGGCCACTACACACTTTGCCAATGGAATATTTATTGTAACATGTAGACTAGCTCTGATTTCTCTCTTTCTTAGTGCATTTAATATGTGCTTTTTTTGAATAAGTGTGAATGAAGTCAACTTGAACTTGAACTTGAACTTGAACTTGAACTCGTTCGCTACGCTCTCTCATGAAATATTATTCAACACTCGAACAGAAATTTCGTATCTCCGCGAGGCCATGTAACATCCTCTATGTATTTAATTCTATTGAATGTTCATTCACTATTAATTTGATTAAATCTCAATTCTTAGGAAGTGAATGGGATTACGTCATCATATCTTTGGTTCGCTCGATGAAAGAGCACGACATCGAAAGAGAGCCCTCTCTCAGCTGGCTCCGTGAACATTTGGGATTCTTAACAGATGACCATCAGATGAACGTGGGAATAACACGAGCACGCAGAGGGCTTTGCATCATTGGTAAGTCCCGGTTCAGACTACGAACTTTTCATGAGCCGAATCTAATGCATTGATTTTAGTATATGAGAAGTTCGGTGTCTGAATCAATTAGGAGCACCTGTTTTCGGCTCTCCCATTACAGAGACGCGCCCATTCAAAAACGTCGATCGTGAAAATGCAAATAAGTGAAAAATGACGTTAATTTAGTGTCAATCAAGAAATCTCCTGGGTATATCCCTTTCCTGGTTATTGTCCCTGCTCAGACAGCCGCAACATTTGCCTATTCTTCGATGAAGAATAGAACTTCACGCGACTAACAATAGCTCAGTCTGTTTAAAAACTATCTAAATTTACTCCGAATTAGCATGTGACTTTTTGCTGTTAAACGCTTCAAAATTGAAAAATCCTCGATGATTGTTGTTGATTTTGCCGTAAATAATTCAATGCACTGACTTAAAACGAATTTTTACCTTTTACAAACTTCATGGTTCGAATCGATCGATGAAATATGAGCGCAACCGATGCGTTAATAGTTTGTTTACATTTTGTCGCCGGTTTTAGATAATATTATAAACCTTAAAATTTACGGGCAAATTCGACGAAAAAGCACTCCCACTTACATTCTTCATTTAAGATATTGATTTTAGCACAGTATAGGGCAAAATTAAGAGCGATACTTTCTTTAAGAATGCTATAACTACATACTTAATGGCCAAACCTAAACAGCGATCTAATCCGTCTCTTGAAAACAACTACAATACCGCTTCTGATAATATTTATAAAGGCTGCAAACATTTTTATTCAATCGAGTGATTTTCGTGAAGATGAGTTTTTAAGTGAAGAATACTTTGGTTTCTGATTAGTTTTAACTGTTTTTCCATCGAAACAATTCGCACGAGACTACCGAATTCGCGAGGGTTTTATGTTAGTGCACGAGGAAGAAAAATTCTTCTCTTTGCATATTAAACATTTTCTTCTTTGTAGCAATGACAAAGACATTCCAACACTTAAAACAATGGCAACCTACTTCTATTGTTTCTGCATTGTCTCTTGAAAGTGTGAGAATAGTTAACCGCTATGAAGTTCATAAGAGACCGAAAACGACGGTAGTCTTTGAAACCTCGTTTTTGCTCGCAAAGCCTAATGGGTACCCCACTTTTCACGGGCGACGTTTTTCAATGGGCGCGTTTCTGTAATGTTTTCAATTTAGTTCGGCTGGAATTAAGATCGGCGTCTGAATCAATCCAGGCGGTCTGAAAAATTTTAATCGGTCTTAACTTCCAGGTTATTTGAATTAGGTTAGGCTCATGAAAATAAAATAACAAACTATTCGACGTTTGAAAGGGCCTAAGCCAGTCTTGTGGATATCATGGCTAGACAAAGAACAATCATGCAACATGACCGTAAATCCGAGCATACGCAATGTAAATCTAATAGAAGTCATAGTCACTACACAAACCAATCGCCTGCGAAGAATTCGGTAACAGGGTTCATTCACATTCTGAATCTTTGCAGTGATGTTGCGTTTTTGAGTTGGTACAACGAGGATTGCCTTGCTGCCTTTCAGTTTATAATCGGCTTGCAAAAATTGATCATTTAGGTGTCCAAAATACTTACCATGGCTAAATCACAGACACCAGGGAGGTAGAAGTCCCTTAGTTGCTTTAAGTAATCTTCCGATCAAAAAAGAACCGAATAAGTGTACTTGGATGATGTTTTTTTTTTTTTGACGAAATTGGAACGTTAGCGGAGTCAGGATAGCGTAGAGTCCATATACGGACATACGCCCGTGAGTACATGTACAGCTGAAATATGGATTTTTTTTATATATTTTCTGAAAAAAACATTTTCTATCAAGGGAAAAATACCGGGTGATGAGTGTAAGGTCCTTGATTACTTCAAATGAGCAGTATTTAAGGTATCAAAAGAACGTCATCAAAGTTTATTTGAAAATAACAATTTACGACGTGGATGATTTATTTTTCGTTTATATAGGTAATCAAAATCTTCTGAGCAAGCACGCTATGTGGCAGAGTTTGCTACAATTCTACAAGGAAAATAACTGCGTGGTGAATGAAAGTGACTGGCCTTGAAGCATGCATTTGACAGAAAACCTTATGTTATTCACAGCAAAAGCTGATTACATTTAAATAACGTTTATTTAAGACTAACTGTAATTAAAAAATTGAACTAGTGGTGGTTCTAAAATTGCATGAGAAAACGTTTCAGTTTAATCTTTAGATTTGTGTTTTCAATGAACTTACCTTGTTCGGTACGTTTTATTTACATGCAACAATTAAATATAGCTTTTTTAATAAAAGACATTTGAATGTGTATTATGGACTCGTTTTTTCATGTGTCCCACCCTAATCGCTTTGTAATCCCGGTGTCTCTATTATTTCCCTTAGTTTTTACTGAATAAACCTTTTCAGCAAGGCAAATTTGTATTTTGATTTTAGTTTCATGGTAAGCCTTTGTCATGTGCTGTTGTTTTTGTTGTTGTTGTTGTTGTTGTTGAGCCAATAAAAACGCCCTTTTTAAGTTGGCTGTCAAATGACTGTCAAGTCGGGTGTCCTGCATTCCTTCCCGGTCCCCTTAACAGGACGCCATTTAGGAAAAATCTTCTAAGCCTCGTTTTCTCTGTCGGTACTATGAATAAAAGATCCTGGCTTTTTCTCGGTCCGTAATTCAAAGTACGGAAAGAGAACGCAGCTAATCAGAGGCATTTGGTGGAAAAATTATTTAATTAGCTATAATCTTAAATATCAATAAAATTTGTCGTTGTTTTGTTGAGTACTCCTTCTCGTTTTCTTAAGTAGATCAATAGTAACGTTGGGTTGCACATCTAAATGCGAAACGAGGATACTACCGATCCATAAAAACACGACTCCAAGATTCCTTGCAAAGTATTCATTAACGACACAAGAGGAACAAAAATGCTTAACAGATTTATTGGGGAACAGGAAAGGGACGTACTGCTTTCATGATGTCATTATTAAGGAGCCAATCGGTACCGGACGGCTTAGAAAACAGGCTTTTACACCAACAATACCAACGGCGCTCCTGATCGAGACCCTTCAACCTGACATCAACCGTTGGTCAGCTTATTTTTATGCATTAATCACAAGCAAACAGAGTCTTACTGATAGTCCCGCTCATTAAAATCGATGAGAGCCAGTAGTACGTAAAAAATTCTCAATTGGTGGGGCAATGCAGCGGCAAGGCATCACCAATTGCAGAGGCCACAGATATGAATCCCGGTGAAGTCCCGATTTGTTTTACTTTAAATCAAAGTTGGCAAAATCATCGAATCAAAAATTTTACATACAAAGATTGGTAAAATCTGGATTGTCGTCAAATATGAAAAGGACATGATTGGAACGGAAATCAAGAGACTCTAATGAGGAAGTTTGAATGCCTAGGTAGGTATATTCTTGCGAAGCATCACTCTCGTATATGCTATAATCAGCACACTTACTTGCACGTTTTGCGAAAGATTATGTTCCATACACAACTCACTAGGTCGAGATAACATAATCGAGCGAATATAGGTTGATTTTGAGGAAGTCTTCGCTCGGGCCTTCGGGCAGGTCTCTCCTTAGTTTTTAGTTCTGTGCTTATTCTGCAAAGCAAATTGTTTGTGTTTGTGTACCGCTCTCAAAGGCCTTTAAGGGAAAACCCGCCTGCTAAAGCTGAACGAAAGATAAAGGACTTAGGACTCATAAGGGTCTCATAAGTTAACGCCATAATTTTGAGTTCGTTCCAAGCCTGTTTTTTTATGTCTGAAACGACCAGCCCCTTCCTTTCAAAAGTCAAATGGTCGTCTCGATCGCAGGCGGAAAGGGGAGGCGGGGGATGGGACACGCAACGCCTTCTGGGTCATGCCATGTTTTATTTTTTGGTCGGAGAGGCAGCCCAATAATATTGATCACGCTTACTTTTACCTTATGGGGGTACGTAGCTATAGATGTGTACACATACTCAGTGATCGTGGTGATTTAAGCAATCTAATTGGTTCGCTATCTCGGACTATTCAACAATATTCACCTCCTAGCGAGGGGATAATGTGTGAGCTTGGTGTTTTTCCCATTTTTTTTTTTAGAGAATGATGTTTTAAAAGTCGACAGAATCCTAGGATTGACTTTTTTTAAGGCAAGAAAAGACTTCAAGGATTCAAAACGGCGTTTTTCCATTTACTGTAGCTGCGTTTTGTGCTCGATGGATTGTTTACAACTCCCGTTTATTCGCGTAGAAGGAGCCGTTTTGTGAACTCACCGTTTCCTAACAAGAAACATTTGGCCCAAAAATCGAATTATATTTATGACAAAAAAATTTGAAAGCAAATGTTTGCAGAATTCTACGTTTCAAATAAATAGGAAAAAGAATGCTACAGGAAGACGATGTCATACCTCGAGCAACCGCGCCGACATTTTTGTCAGCTCTTCATGGGAAGAACGACACAACAAACCTTTTTGGCTATGAACTTGGCGAGTCAACAGAAAACAACAAAGTTCTAGTTTTCTTCTCAGGTAAGGAAACAATTCTAACTTTTAATGGTTCCATTTAAGCCATTACGCTGTTGTTTGCGAAGTGTTAAACTTGTGAATTGCCATGTTTGAAAATTCTGCAAAAATCTATTTTTAAACTTACGCGTGGTTTGATCCGTCAATCAAATGGTACTTGGTTTCCTATCTAATTTTGTATAGATCACCTCGTGTGTATATATTAAAGCAATATTATTCTTTTTAATATCGGTGAATAGTGGCTTTAGGAATATTTACCTCGCCGCTTCGCGGCTCGCTAAATATTCAGCTACTTAATTCACCTCGATTTCAAAGAAATATTGTTAATTATTCTTCTTTTTTGCTAGGAAGACTTCAGTGAACAAATTTCTTTTCACGAGGACCAAATATTGGGTTTTTTTGTGAAATTTCGTTCCACCGGCAAGAAATTTCTCAGCATGTCACAAAAATAGATTTTCGAGTCAGTTCATCAGCTCGCTCGCGAAATTTCGCCGATACACTAGGTGCAGTCCGAAATATTTGCCGCTTTTCAATAGCCTTTGAACGCAGACGTATTTCCTGTCGTCGCTTCTCTCTCTCATCACACACACTGATATACACACAATAATATATTTTACACTTTTTTTAAAGAATAGTTTTTCAGATTTGGCAAGTTTACCAAGCTTGGTAAACCTTTATATAGAGAGAAAACCGTTTACATAAAAACCCATGAAACGGCCATAAATCGGCCCGTGGACCACACAGGAGAGACGTAACACACATTTTAAGTAAGGTAAGCTGTTTTTTATTGAAATCCTTTCATTTTCGTAGGTTACAGAAACGATAGGTTCTTTTCCCATACAAATCCTTATATTTTTGGAATGTTACGAAACAATGCCGATGCTCGCCGATGCTCATATTTCGAGCTTGGGCTACCTGTGGATAAACTCAAACGTTTTTCGTAAATCTTCTAATCGTCTCTTTAACTTATAGTTTTCTTTTCGCATTGTGTTCACTTTGCCCTTTTCTGATATTTCCAGCTTGATAACTTATGGTGGCAGTAAAAATAAACAATGCACGTAGTGTATTGTATTGTGAAGCGTCCTTAACGCTGTCTGAGCTCAGGGTTGAGAGTAACCTGCGATCAGGCGTCTTTTTTTTTAAGAGACAAAGAGGTATAATAAAGAGGAGGCATGATCTCAGGCTAGGTCATGTGAAGAGAAGCGACGACCGCTATGTGTTTGTGTTTGTCAAAATTCAAGGTTATGTGCAGGTAGAATTTGTTCCCTATATACACATAAAAACGTTTCCGCTTCGAAAGCCAATTACCTAATTGACCACTGCAGAAAATACCAGAACATACCATAATGCTCTTTGTTTGTCACCCCCCAATAACTGAAAACAATGCTTATGCAAAATTTTGGGCTGAAAAACAAAGAGCATTATGGTATGTTATGGTATTTTCTGTAGTGGTCAATTATGGCAATCAATCATAGTTTCAATTCGTAAACAGTTTGGTGGTCCTGCTGGTGTTGGAGCATTCAATTGCGGAGCGATCAGTTGTTTTTATAAGCCCGGCTTTGGACCCTCTGTCGAAATTTTGCTCGTCACCAATTTGTAGAAGACAGGATCAGAATCAAACCCCTAACAAATGACTTGTCCATTCGTATGCTAATACCATTTGACTGCTTTGTTACCGATATTTTGCATGTATGGACACATTTACGTGTGACGTCTCTGTCGGTTTCTGAGAAAGTAAACCGGAAATCATTATTTTTTTCTGGGAAGCGGAAATGTTGTGTTATTTAGCAAAAATTGGGGCAAGACATTATCGCAAAGTTAGTAAGTGAAAGCAGGGTCATTGTTAATGCTGTATTGTAAAGAAAAACACGTAATTCGTATCGTGTGTCTGCGACCTTGGATCCAGTGAATAAGAAGACATCTCTTCGCGTCACGAGGTCAACCAGTGAGGTGATAATAATAGATGAAATAACAACTATTTTAAATAGCCTGTTGTATCTTTGTCTCTTTAAATAAGAAGTAACAGAGGTAAGAAAAGTTTCAAACATTTGACGACATATTTAACAACATACAGGCTGGCATCTTCACATATGTCATTAAAGTGGCATCAAGATATATAGCTTATAAAATATACAATTTTTGAAATAATTATGTTGACGTGCCAGTAAAATGTTGATGATGCTAAATGTTTTTGTAGCGGTAGCTGTGTCAGTCTATCTAGATATATCTGAACAGAATTACATTTGAGGGCATTGAAAATGAAGAGAAATGACAGAGCTAGCAAGTGATATGGCATAAAGATAAATCTTGCCAATGTTTAATTTTGTCGGTAAAACCACAGGCTTGAAGAGGATTAGAGTGATTTCCCGTTGAAAAGACAATTGTTACTTAACAGAAAATGACAAACGCTATGTACGGGGAAAATTATCCAGTGTGAAGAAGTTGAGACCAAAGTCTAGCGGAAATAAATCGATCTAAGGACACAGGAGACAGCTCATCGAGTCAATCGGATGATGGCTAGCGGTACTGACGTTAAACAAAATAACTGGGCCAGACGATCTAAAGTACAATACGGTCAACTAACCCGCGATTTAAACAGAAACCAAAAATCTATTATGAAGCAAACCGTGTACCGTGTGAATCTTTATGGATTTGGCCAAGAATCTGCGTAATGTGAACGGGGCCGTGAAATAAGAGAACAATGAAAATGAATTTAAAAGTCGAAACAAAATCTGGAGTTGCGTGCGTTCCCGATTCATAAAACTGTATTTAGGGTTGAAGAATATACCCACAAATCACAATGTGAATAGCACTGAATAGAATATTGTCTCTCTAGTTGCCCGGCAAAATTAAGTTAAACACGACGGTGCAGTTGAAGACGACCCGATAATAACGGCGACTTATTTCA